ATAATTAATCAGAGTCAATTCAAAAGATAGAAACTAGCAATCTATAAAGTGAATCCTAAATCTCAACACTTCAAGTGATTGTATTTTTATCATCATTATTTTTTTAATTTACTTTTATTTTTTATATTTTTATCAAATTTATCCATTTCATCTATTTTTTTAAACTGTTAATTATTTAAATTAATAAAAGTATAACTTTCTTATAGGTTCGACACTTGAAATACTCTGAATAATTTATCACTGTAACCTCATACACTTTTAAGGGTGATCAATAACCCCAGCCCGACCCAGCCTCCGGACCCTCATTTTCCAATTCCAACGGTGGCCATGGCAATGACTGCGTGGGGACCCAATCCCCGGAAGAGCACTATAAGACTGCTCATCAGTACGGTTAAGTGTATGGACTGGGGGTTTAATCAGTGCATTAGAATGCTTGTAAACCGGTTTTCGCCCCGTCCACTTCATATAATAAAATCATGCTCCTTATCTAATACAGCACTGTCCTCTTCACCAGACAATTGACTCCAATGAGAACGAAGTCGACGGGGACGTCGTTGTACACTTCGTAAGACGGCTTCTCCAATTGTAATATCTTATTCTCTCGGGTTTTGGAGGTTGTTGGGACGTAACAATTAGGGAGAGCTGAGAGGCGTGGGCTACCAAAGTCAATTCCCTGCCTTCACCAGCTCCTTCTCCATTCATTCCCCATTACCCCCCACCACAACCAGCTCCCTCTCCCAACCCCTCTCTTCTTATCTTACCCTCCATTTTTTTTATTCACGTCATTGCTCCATCATTTTAAAGGCAGTAGTGTTTTATTTCAGGAAATGCTTTTGGAAAAGAAAAATGATGGTGGTTGGGTTGATTGTGTATCTGAGGGGTACAAAATTGCTCAGGAATTGTAGTTAAAATCCATACAATAATGTAACTGCTTGTTTGGAATTCAATTTAGTTGGCTCATATAACAGTTCATACACTTAAAAGTTAGTTTTTTTTTTGGCCAAAAAAGACAATATTATTAATCACCAAGAGAAAGTAATACAAACACTAATAGTCAAATCCAAAATAAACACTCAAAAACACAAAAAAAAAAAAAACACCAAACACCAAAAGCAAACAAAAAAAAAAGCAAAACAACACAAAAGAACAGTGACAAAAATTCAACCAATTTTTTTTATCGAAATTAACCACAGCACTATAACACAAATCATTGCATAAGACCTCAATTAAAGAAGATGATACATCAATCAACCAAATAGGTTGCATCATCTTCTTTGCACCGAGGGTTGCCGACATATTAGCTACTCTATTCCCTTGCCTAGAAACAAGAGAAAATGACACATTTTGCAGTGACCTTGACAATACAAAAATTTCTTCCAGCACATCCACACTCTGCCATTCACAACCAATACAAGAGTTCTAAATTAAAAGCTTAAACAGTGCCTCACAATCCATTTCAATACAAATCAAAGGGAATACTTGAGCTTTGCAAAATATCAGTGCTTCTTTCAAAGCCAGAATTTCAGCCATAAAAAGAATAATTGCTACCACAGGCTTTCCCAAACATTCAAGAGATTGATCATCATTGGACATGCAAATCAAACCAACCCCACCAACCTCACTTTTAAATTTAAAAGCACTATCAATATTTATTTTGACATAGCCTTCATTTGATTTGATCCACCTATCAACATGGTTAACCATTGAAGTATACACCTTATTAACCTTTCTATTTACCTTTTGTTTCTTGCATCAGAACTCTTTCACTAGAGTCTGCATTAGCCGTCTCACCTTATTAATATCCACCTTTTCCTTCCTAAATATAAAATTACAACGACTCTTTAAATCCACCAACACATCATTATCAAAATAAACTTTCCATACTCAATCAGCCTACCATTATCAAACAACATGTCAATTAGCCACTGCTCAACTCTAACCATGCCCTCCTCTAAAGATCTAAAACCCAACATACAACCAAACACTTAAAAGTTAATTAGGGATAGAAAATTGTGCTCGGATAAAAGTAGATGGTAAATGAGTTTTTCTTTTTCAACTATAAAAAAGCTGAAAGTTAGATTTTAAAAGTTTTATATTAGTTACATTGAAATCTAATTGTTACCAACAGTTAATGCTTTTTAAATTTATTGAATAACATATGCGTTTCATTTTAAAATTTGATATTTTTATTATTTAAAAATTTAACATTTTTGTTACTTAAAGATACATTAACTCTACACATAATACGCTAACATTTAATTGAGTTTTTTTTTAGTATTCAAAAATATTTTTTTTACGTTAATACGTTAACTCTTTTGTTTTTATAATTACAATTTTGATTTTTTTAAATTTATCAAATTGCATATTTATATATGTATGCATAAGAAAGACATAAAACTCATGTCTCATTTTTAGTTTTTTTTTTAACTAGCCCTTGTTCTTTTTAGTTATTATAAATTTAAATGTTCTTTTTAATTATACTACCTAACTAAGTTTTGGTTTGTCAAGTTGACTTTATGCATAAGAATATCCAAACATAAATTATTTTATAATAAGTAACTTTTAGCCCAATTTTAGTTTTCAAATGATAGTTTTGCAAATATTGATTCAAACAAGATCTAAGTAGTTGGTTGTCGATGCTTAGAGTTTTTTTTTTTAAATAATTTTGATGAATCGAGAACAAGGGCTTGAAAGAACGTGTGTCCAATGATAATTAGTGATCAAGTTAACTATAATTTTTAATAATTAAATATAATATATTTTTAAAATAAGCAAAATAAAATGAAAACAGCTTTAAAATATTTAAATTTTTTGGTTTTTAAAAAAGAAAATGACGACAGTTTTTAAGATAGTTAAATTCAAAACGCTTATCCAATTATTCAAACAAGTTTTTTAATTTTTTATTATTAAAAACAAAAAATTATTTCAAAATACAGAAATCAAACATGCCTTAAATTTACTAGTCCAAGTACTGTCTTATAGTATTGTTGCTTGTCGGTCTCATTTTTTGTAAACTACTCACAGATTAACGAACGGTATCATTTGGGATGCAAGGATACATAAAAGCAGGGAAAGGAGGGAATCGTGAACGTGAGGAACGGCAGCGAATCGGAAGAACTCCATATTTCAAACAAATAAAAAAAAAGAGTACATAAAAATATCATATCTCAACTCAAAATTATAAAATTAAATTTATTTTATAAAATATTGAACCTGATTTTATTTAATATGAGATTTTTTTTAATCAATTCAAGTATACTTGTATTTGTGCTTGCTGATGTCTTTATTATGTGGCGCTTTCTGCAAGGTTTTTTGGGTCTTTCAAACAAGGCACATGAAAGGAATTTTTTTTAATTTTTCCCTTGTTGTAGCTTTAATTTTATGACTATCGTAAATTGTTTGTCTTCTAATTTTTATTAGGGACAAAGGTTAAAAATTTTGTCATCTTGAGACATATTTATTGTGTTCACTATTATTTTTTTGATTTTTAAATACTTAAAAGATACATTACAAGAAGTATTGAAAGTTACTCCATCCTATTCACCATACAAATCATTTATTAGAAGCGTCCTTGATCCAAAATATAGAGTATCTGATAAAATTTTATATTTTTTACATCTATACCACTGTTTTATTTTTTATTCCTTGTTTTTAATGCAATTAATAATGGTTATTTGAATGTTTCACTCAGAGACATAAGTAAAAATATGTGAATATTTTTATAAATTTACTCTCTCAGTTTGTATATATATGGTATGATTTTTTAAAAATTTATTTTATTCTTAAATATAAGAGGTGTCATGATAATTTTAAATAATTAAACAAATTTACTTTTGTTGTGAAAAGAAAAAAAAGATATTAACTGAGTGCTTTGTCCACCATCATTATAATATTAATTGACATCATTAAATATAAAATTAAAAATTTATGATAATTTAACAGACTTTTTTTTTTGTTTTTTTTGGGGGGGGGGGGGGAGGAAGCAGATTAGTAGCAATAACGAATGACACGTTTAGTCAATAGAAAAATCTTGAAAGTGAAGCTAATAAGCAGGGATCCAAGCTGTCGGCCGATCATCATAAACCCACCCTCTCCATTACAACTGCTCCATTTATTGCCCTCTCTTTCCTTTTCTTTCCAGTTCGCCCTGATTGACGACAAATTAACACAATTAATTTCTTGCATGTTCATTTCATATGTTCACCTCAATGATTCAATCTCCTAAGATTTAATAACTAGTTTTGATTATCCTTAGGCATAATATCACCCTGTTTCTGTAAGATTCGAGAGAAGGCAGATCCTTGGAAATACCTTTCCCTGTTGGCAAGGCATGCGAGGATAGAAGGAGGCTAGGCTTTTCCACGTGGACGGCTGGCTGTTCTTTGCTTTGTTGTTGTTTTTGGAGATTCTGTTCCATGTGCAGGACGAAAGAGAAATCTTCCCCAACGAACGCATCGGCAAGCACTTTGAATTCAGGACCTGCAAGTCCAAACCTACGTGTCGTGCATTCCCGCAATATTCCCTGCCATTTCCTGTGGCAACCGATTACGTTATCATCTGATCAAATATTAACAAATGGAAAACCTTAAACACTAGTTTTGGTTCATGATTAATGAAAGAAATTATTTTTTTGAGCGTGTCGAATGTTTATTCGAGGTTGACTTACAAAGAAAATAATTAGATTCATCATTTTGCAAGAGTACGTAATTTGGCGAAAATATTGTGGGTGAAATAAAGGCGGCGGGGGGGGGGTACTGGGTAAACTTGGGTGGGGAGGAGTGAGAAGGAAGCCGCCAACGGCAAGTAATGGGAGAATGAAAGTAGCTTGGGCGTGGCTACATAACAAATGGGTGAGCTGTACAGGATTGAATGCCAGTGAGAGACGGTGGCCCATAGTCGTATTACTCACACTTCCTCCCATTTTTATACTAATAATAATAATAATAATAATAATAATAATAATCTCTCTTTTCTTCCGATCACCTGTCCAAATCTCAACTTGTCCCCTCCCCGCCTCATAACCTTCACTTCCCTTCTCCATTTTCAACTCTCTCCCGCTGCTTTTCCTCCTACTTTATTCTCTCCCTGTCTTTCCTTAAACCCAAATGTCCCCATAACCTTAAGGGTGACGGGTTTTTGGAGCTTTACGGACGCCCTCCCTTTTACCTCACACCTCATTCTGACCTCTCATTCCCCTCCGCCTTCTTGCCGTTGCTCAACATCCTCCTCTGCCGATTCTGTCTGCTGCCATAGCGTTGCAGTTGCACCCGCTGCTTCCTCACCATTCCCACTCTTTTTTGTTCCCTCTCTTTCCGGTAAGCCCATTTCACTCGCCCCTTCCTCTTCTACTTTTTCCCTTTACCGCGCCTTGCTCTTCTTCTTACTCTTCTTTTTTCTCGTCACTCATGGTTTTATTTTTTATTTCTTTATTGGCTGGGCATTTTTTCTTTGTCGGTGACGCTCTGTTCGGAGTGCTTCTGTTTCCGTTACTTCGGGCTATTTGCAACCGAATCGTGGGAAGTCCAACTCAGCCATTCATTTCTCTGCGGTTTATTTCTTATCTGATTTTAAATTTTTCGACAAAATCTCTTACCGGCGACTTCAGTGGGTGGTGGCAGTCCTAGAATCGCCTGCTTTGGCCCATATCTTATTTTCACTTCTCTAAAAGTTGACTGCGTAATTTGGATCTAATTTGAGTGTTTGAGATTGTGAGCTATAAATATTCACTGACAGCACTATTTGCCCGCTCTCGTTCCCTCACGTCACTTCATTTTCTCTCGAGTTTTTGCTCTGGAAGTATTTCTCATATTTTCGCGTACGGCTAGTTACGGCATGTGTTATATTCGTAGACTTTTAGGATCTTAAGCCATCAAAAGCAGACCTGCTCAGTAATTTAGATCTCCAGCATCCCGGTGGCCAAAAACCCCCCGGATTTCTTTCATGGCTTTTGTTTGATGCTCTGCCACACTGCACCTCGCTTCGGAGCATTGCGTGATTATAATACTCGGAGTCAATCGGTGACGAATTTTCGAGTTGAAGCAACGCGTTGTACTTTCCCTTTTGCTTCTCGGGCAAGGATAGTAGATTCAATGTGCTGTCAGCGCCGAAGTTTTACTGACAACAGAAAATGATAATCTTTTACATTTTAGGGTGTTGCCCGCGTAAAACCTGGAAGACATTATTGCGCCCTCCTAGCTGCCGCATTCTTGTGAAAATTTCACTTCTCAGGATAATGCTCATCAAGTAAACTCCGTAGACGTTGAAAATTTAGGCTGTCCCTTGCTGCGATCGCTTCTGCGCCGATACCGTTGCAAATTTTGAGGTATATTTTCATGGATGAAGAGTCATGTCAATTTCTCATGAATGTTCTTTTAAGAGCTGTCTTATCAAATATCATTCCGCTTAGTATCTGTGAATATCGCTAGATGATAGCATTGTGTGTTACGATGGCAAGATGACGCTGTATTCTGTAGTTCACGGTATGAGAAAGAATCTAGGATGCCGAATAAACCGCTTATAAGATTCGATGTTTCAGATGGAGCGGCGCTGGCCCTGGAAGAAAAAATCATCGGACAAGGCAGTTGTTGAGAAAGTAGCTGCTGGATTGGACTCTGTTAGTGCTTCCTCCCAGGGCAATCAGGTAACTTTATTAGAATTTCCTCTAAAGAAAAAACAGAGTCCATAGTTTGCGTCGAGGAATTTTTCATATAGAAAATGTTTACTTCTTCTTCTTTTTGATAATATACTTCATATTAATATTAATTTTTAACATCTGTTGCATTTTGTCTTGCTAATTTGTTATAACTAAATGTTTTAAATATTCAAATTTTCCTTCTGCAATTTTCCTGTTTGTTTGCCCATATTCAAAATTTATGAATTTTATTTTTCCTTATAACATTTTAGCATTTTTACGCTGGGTCTCTTTTAAATATTTGAACGAACATTTATAGTGCTATAACTTGATGTATATATTAGTTTCCTTGCATAAACTATGCATCTAGTCCTTTCTCTCTTTAGAACTTGTAACTTTACAGGACCTGCGGCCCCTTGATTTAGAGGTTTTGATTATTTTAACATTCTCCTGGCTTCCTAGAATCAGCAATGTTAATTACATGTATTTTTCTTCTTTTCCTCGTGTTTGTCTTTTTCAAACAGGATAACTACAAAAAACCAAACTATGCCCAAATTTCTGTGGAGTCATATTCCCATCTGACTGGTTTGGAGGATCAAGTGAAGACGTGTGAGGAAAAAGTTCAGAGTCTAGAGGATGAGATCAAGGATCTGAGTGATAGGCTGTCGGCGGCAAATTCAGAGATGACAACCAAGGAAAACCTTGTAAAACAGCATGCAAAAGTGGCTGAAGAAGCTGTCTCAGGTGTGCTTTTTTTAATGATGAAACTCGATACTACCTAAGATTTTCAAAATTCAATTTTACTTCAATTCTGAGGGCTTCTTGGATTTAGAGTTTAATCATATCCAATTGGTGCAGGATGGGAAAAGGCTGAAGCAGAAGCTTTGTCATTGAAGAATCATCTTGAATCTGTCACTCTTGCAAAACTTACTGCTGAGGATCGTGCGTCACATTTAGATGGTGCTCTTAAAGAGTGCATGCGACAGATCAGAAATCTGAAGGAAGAGCATGAAGAGAAAATGCAAGAATTTGCTCTTTCTAAAACCAAGCAACTGGACAAGATTAAAGGGGAGTTTGAGGCAAAGATTGATAACTTAGAACAGGAACTCCTTAGGTCAGCTGCTGAAAACGAGGCCCTTTCAAGGTCCTTGCAGGAGCGCTCAAACATGCTGATAAAAATTAGTGAAGAAAAAGCTCAAGCTGAGGCTGACATTGAGCTTCTGAAGAGCAACATAGAATCATGTGAAAGAGAAATCAGTTCACTTAAGTATGAACTTCATGTTGTTTCCAAGGAGCTTGAAATTCGCAATGAAGAAAAGAACATGAGTATGAGGTCTGCAGAAGCTGCTAACAAGCAGCATATGGAGGGGGTAAAAAAAATTGCCAAATTAGAGGCAGAATGCCAAAGATTACGGGGTCTGGTGCGGAAAAAGTTGCCCGGTCCTGCAGCACTTGCACAGATGAAGCTAGAAGTTGAGAGTCTTGGCCGAGATTATGGAGAAAATAGACTGAGGAAGTCCCCTGTGAAGCCTGCTAGTCCTCACATGTGTCCTGTGCCTGAGTTCTCCTTAGAGAATGCACAGAAATTCCAGAAAGATAATGAATTTCTTACAGAGCGTTTATTGGTAATGGAAGAAGAAACTAAGATGCTCAGAGAAGCTTTGGCCAAGCGTAACAGTGAATTGCAGGCCTCAAGAAGCATGTGCGCAAAAACCTTAAGCAAGCTTCAAAACTTGGAAGCTCAACATCAAACATGTAACCAGCAAAAAGGATCTCCAAAATCGATGACCCGGATGACCCATGAAAGTATTTATAGTCGCAATGCAAGCTATGCACCAAGTATAACCTCCATATCTGAAGATGGAAACGATGATGCACTAAGCTGTGCTGAATCTTGGGCTACAGCATTAATCTCTGAGCTCTCCCAATTTCGAAAGGAAAAGAATACTGAGAAATCAAGCACACCTGAAGCCACTAATAAGTTGGAATTAATGGATGATTTTCTGGAGGTGGAAAAATTGGCTCATCTATCAAACAATTCTAATGGAGATACCTGTGTTTCAGTTTCTTCAAACAAGACACCTGAAATTGTGGTCAATGATGTGTCAAATATCAATAATTGCATAGATGATTCATCTAACAAACAGATTGTTCCAAATCTATTGTTGAATCTGGAGCCTTCTGTTGCACAGTTGTCAGTGCCTGATCCAGGATCTTATGTTGACCACTTTTCATTGACAGGGCTTCAGTCAAGAATATTGTCGGTTTTCAAGTCCATGTCTAAGGATGCTGATAGAGGAAAGGTCCTGGAGGAGATTAAACATATTCTGCAAGATGCACAAGACACTTCTGTCGAGCACTCTTCTGGTTGCATTTCTCAGGTTGTCCAACCGCTCCAGCCTTCTGATTCTCCATGTGATAGGCATGTTAATCCTGAAGATGCTGGCTTAAGAATTGGGAAGGATTCCACTTCATCCCAGCAAGCAACAGAATTTGTGCAGATAACTTCAAACGTAGAAGCTGCAATTTCTCAGATTCATGACTTTGTATTGTTCTTAGGCAGAGAAGCAATGGCATTTCATGACACATCTTGTAATGTAGATGGAATGAGCCAAACGATTGAGGAGTTCTCCGTCACTTTTAAGAAAGCTCTACGCAGTGAAAAAAGTTTGATGCAATTTGTTCTTGACCTGTCTTGTGTTTTAGCTAAAGTGAGTGAGTTCAGATTTAATGTCCTTGGCTACAAGGGTACAGAAGCTGAAATTAACAGTCCTGATTGCATTGACAAGATTGCCTTGCCAGAAAATAAGTTACCTCGAGATGATTCACCTGGAGAAAGATATCAAAATGGTTGTTCTCATATTATAAATCCTTGTTCTGATCCTGAGGTTCCTGATGATGGAAATCTAGTCTCATCCTATAAACCAAATGCTACGTTCAAAAAATTATCTGTCGAGGAGTTTGAAGAATTGAAATTAGAGAAAGAGAGGGTGGCAATAGATCTGTCAAGATGCATTGAAAGTCTTGAAATGACAAAGTCTGAATTACTGGAAACTGAGCAACTTCTGGCGGAAGTTAAATCACAATTGGCTTCTACTCAGAAATCTAATAGCTTGGCGGAGACACAGCTGAAGTGTATGGCAGAGTCATACAGGTCACTTGAAACACGTGCCCATGAGTTAGAAACTGAGCTAATTCTTTTGCAAGTTAAGACTGAAACTCTGGAGAATGAACTTCAAGATGAAAGGAGGGGTCATGAAGATGCTTTGGCCAAGTGTAAAGAGCTTGAAGAGCAAATACAGGGGTTAGAATCTCATCCATTGTGATGTTGGTTATAATTAATTCTGAGCTATTCATGTTCTAACTGCAGGAATATGGGCCAGCTGTTGATTGCAATTTTAGTTTGTGTTGGCATGCCGAAAAGAGGAAAAAAATATAGGATTTCATATCTTTAAATTGCTTGACAATCGTCCCCACCTTTTTCTCCTTTTATCATAACTTTGACAATTGCTATTTCTAATGTTGGTCTTCTTTTTCTATCAGGAATGAGAGTTCAGCTGCTGATAGTAACCAAAAGATGAAGCAGGTAACAATGTAGTTCCTTTGTGAAAATGGATTGCGATGTTGGTTGTGTATCAAACATAGCCGTGTATATGAAAGAAAATACGAGAATGGGTGACATTTATTATCCAGTTATAGTTAAAAATATGATAGCACGCAACTTATCTCAATCCAGGAATCCTGAATGAATGTTAGATGAGTCGAAAAATCTTAGATTGAAATGTTTTGTTCACTGCAGGAGAGGGATTTGGCAGCTGCTGCTGAAAAGCTAGCCGAGTGTCAGGAAACCATTTATCTTCTTGGCAAGCAGTTGAAAGCCTTGCATCCTCAAACGGAGCAAAATGGATCTCCATACAGTGAAAGAAGTCTAAAGGTTGAAGCCTTCCCGGAAGATGAACCTACAACTAGTAGCCCAAATTTGCAAGAATTAGATCCGGTCGAGATGGACAATGCTACTCCTGCATACATGCAGAAATTAGGTGGGGTGTCGCCTCTGCATTTCTCCAACGTCGTGTACAGTCCATCAGACAATGAAGCAAACCTTCCGGACAGATCTCCAGTGAAGCCTCCAAAACATAGGCCTGCAAAGTCAACCTCCTCATCGGCCTCCTCCACCCCGACACCAGAGAAACATGCACGAGGCTTTAGTAGATTCTTTTCATCGAAGGGGAAGAATGGTCACTGAGCATGCAGCTTGCAGCCTGTGATCTTTCAGATTTGAAGGTCATAAGGTGATTACAACTGATAAGTCTCATAGGCCCTTCTCTAGTCTTGATTTGTTTGTGTTTTAGGTAAAGAATGCCGTTCGTGCCAGGCGATTCTTGTACCTAATGATTGTACATGGTAACCATATGTTGTTTTCTTTTCCTTTCCATTGGCATTTTTATTTGTCTGTAAATTGATTGACATTGACGACATAGTTTATTACAGATGTTGAATATATTTCGTCCGAGAGCAATTGCATTGAATTACAAGCAGAGCCAGGACTCTCATCCCCTTCCCTACTAGGCTACTACCCACGGATAAAAAATAAAGTAAACGTTGAATTGATGCCAATTGTGGGTGTGAGTACTATATATCCTTCTGCTATGCACGCCCCGTGTAGTTGTTAGGATCAGTATTATTCACTGTATCACATAGGGTCACGGTCAGTTAGTCACCACAATCTTTCTTAAAAAATTCAGTATTATAAATATATAATTACGCACCAGAAGTCAGAACTACTAAAGAGGAGTTGGAAAAAGTTGGCGAGTCAAATCATAAGCCAATGTAATTTTGTTGAAGTCAACTGATATTGTATTAACGAGTGAGAATACAAGTGACTTTTCCGATGAACTCACCATAACAAAAGCAAAAACCCCAGTTTGCACTTTCAGGCATTATTGATCAGTTCTCCATTGAATTTCTAAGGGTAGGAGCCGTGATATGATCAAAACTACTTAAAACTACTAACATGGCAGTGATCTATCTCCAAATCTTAACCATCTGCCCTGCGGTGTGTGAGGACGCACGATGAGATGGATATAAATGATAATAGAGAACCCCATACTTATTTGATATTTCGCCTACATTCAAGCATAATAATAGAGTCATAGATTTGTGTGTAGAATCTCAAAAATATAAAGCAACAAGTAAGCCGGGGAAACAAGTAATTGAAGTCTTCGATGCCATGTTGAATTTCGCTGCTCGTGTCCAGACATTCCGTTTTCATCCGTTATTGAGTGGTTTCATTACAGTTACAGATCCAGCAGCAATAACTGTGGAATGTGCAACGAGCCAAAAAGACAACCTCGACATTAGATATTCGAAAATAAACAAAATCCTTGAAACAAGGGATTGCCTGTATCCACGATATGATATTACAAAGCTCGAGAGTTTACTCAGTTGCTTATGTGGCGCAATGTCGGATATGACAGAAATTTTATTTGATAATATATTTCACAAATAATAATAATAAAAAAAAAGGGACTACAATTAGTTCTCCACACGGTGCATTGGCAATTGGCATTGCACTTGCCAGCCTCTGCCTCCACCACTGCAGGAAAAATTGGCAAGTTAATATATAGATCTACATCCTAAACCCAGAACAAATTGTCACGGGGTGAATTTGTGGAGGTTAGAATTAGTTTAAAAGAAGAACCTCCTACAATGAAAAAACAACAGAAGCAGGAGAAAATAAAGCCAGAGAAGCAGCAGGGCAGCTTCATCTAGCTATAGCTTTTGTCTCCATAGTTGGATCCATATTTTCGTCTAAGATTGGAGGCGAGGGACTCAAAGACGTCTTCATCACAAGGGATTGTGAGACCCCTGTGGTTTTCAAAGCCAAACGCTTCTTCGGCTTGAAGGAGAAGGCTCTGGAACTCAGGGCGGCTCAGCAATGATATTGGGACAACGTATCTACTCCTGTTTTCTCCAACATATATGACAAAGTGACCCTTGGGCACGTCCACAGGCAGGCCTTCTTCATCGTACCCTCGTTTGCTCCCTAAGCTCGAGCATCTCTTTAGGATTTGCTTCAGAACTGCCGTCTGAGGGAGTCTGCCGGGTTTCTTCAGAGCCATTATATATGGATATAGATCGGTGTTGATCTGATGTGGTTGGTTAAAACCGATGGAGAGAGTTCAGGAGAATGGAAAAGGTAGGACTGATGAGATGGAGGGAAAGATTGAGAGGATGTACAGGTATTTATGGTGAGATTGAGAGGAGAGAAGGAAAGAGATATCAGTTATGTGAGGGCGTGAGGCTGTACGTGGTGGGGCAAAGGACAAGCCTGTGGTTTTCCCAAGACAGTTTTGAAAAGGGAACGTGAGCTGAAGCCCGAAGGACATGCTGTTGCCCTTCTAGAGGACAGCTTGGTCCCTCGTGCTCTTGAAATGATATTTTTGTCAAACACGTACGGTACTAAAATGCAGCATGCCTGCAATTTCCAAGGTTGCCTTTTAACTGCTGCTCCCGTGGCATTCTTTCCTTTAAGAAATCAATCCATTTTGACGCAGTAAAGATGAAACCAAATGCAGAAACTTGAAATCGTACCCCACCCTTTTACTTACAAAGGCTGTAACATTCAGCTCCAGCTCCATGACCCCGTCCATCAGCTTTAAATAACAGGAGTACATGCAAAAGGTCGTCGGCCTAGGGATCAAAGGGTCTCTCAATTTTTTTTTTTTTCCCCTCCACTTACTCCATCCCTGTCATTTAAAATTTTTTATTAAATAATTTTTTTAAATAATAAAATTAATGAATGGTGGGATGAAAAAAAATAAGAGAAATAAAGAAAAAAAAGTGAAGAGACCCACTTCTCAACCTAGTACCTTTTCCCCTCCTGTCTATTCATGTTTTGCCTTTTACCTTTTCCGTGGCCCCACTTCGCTCCGACTCTCAACACAAAAGTACAGAATTTTCCCTGAAAAGTTTTCCGATTTTCCGGGTTCGTATACGGATGGTACTTTTCCTAACCCTGATAATGGTGATAATATAATAATCATAACAGAACCTCCAATTTGGATGGCTTGAAATTAATACTGCTTGTTCTGTTTATTAATTATTCTGTCAAACTTATCAATACTAATATAATAAAAATATAAAAAATAAAAATTACTGAAATTTTAAGCATAACTTTAGAATAAAAAAATAAATAAATTATATAATATTATTTTTCTATCCCTCTCTTTATTTTCTAATGATAATTTAGGTATTTTATTTAAAATAAAATGCGTTTGCTTTATTGGAGTTAAGTGAAATTGATAACCCTTCATCTGTCAATTTGTAAGACCAAGTTGTGCAGGGAACATGTATGATCTAAACCCAAAAGCAGAGGAAGATAAGCAACGGAGGTTGACTTCACTGTCACTGGCTTTACTGCTCAAATGGAAGCCAGGTTTATAAAGAAGAAGATGAATATAATAAGAGAGAGGAAATGCAAGTTAATTGAAGATATCTTCATGTTGTTTCAAGTCATTTTAGCAGGTTAAAATTGCTTGGTTTAATTCTTACTCTACCCTCATATTTTGTGTGGACAAGCTAAGTTGAGCATCTTGAGTGGTGCTGTCAACTTAAAGGGGGTGCTGTGATTAGTGTTAATTACTTAATTGTTGATGATCTTAAAATCTATATAAAGGGCATCACATTTCATTAGAGATTAGGGGTTTTAATCCTTCCTAAAAAAAGGAGATTAATAAAGATCCTTACCTCATTGTTTCATCTCAAAGTTGAGGTTTGTACATTAATCAAGTTAAGTAGATTAATGCAAGGTTTTTATCATCTTTATTGTTAATATTTTCTTCTTCAATATTCTTAACATACATGTTGGCGGTGTGTGCTACGTAGTACCGAATATGCCTGCCACAGCACAGCAAGATCGTCTCATGGATTTACCTTCCCCGGCGATCACTTTATAACGGTCCAAAATGAATTTAACTCGACCAAAATCACGTGTTTGTGATCTATGAAGTTGGAGGAGCAACGAAGTATAAAAAGCAGAATAAATTAACCCAAAGAAGCCCAGGGCCCCAGACGTCGGGGAGTTTTAATTTTTTGTTTTCGGCCGAAGGTAAGGGAGTTTTGTTGGACTGCATGATGTAATGGGGCGGCTAGCAAGTAACCCCAGGAATTCCAGGACGGGTGGTGAATTTAAAAGTTTTACCTGGAAATTTTGTGTGGGGGCAATGACAATTAGAAACTTATAAAAATATTAATGATAATTATAGATATTAAATCATTGAAACTTCTATAAAAAATTATGACCCTTACTTATAATTTAAAAAATGTGAATACTCAGTTGAAAAATCTATTAACTACACTTAAGACTATTTATAATATTAATTAAAAATTTATGAAAGTTAGTTGAGAATGTTAATTTTTTATTATTAATATATACAAATAAATCACTTGAAAAATTAAATAAATATACTTAAAATTATTTGCAATGTTAGTTTGGAATTTATGAGAGTTTATGAATTGCAAACCAATTACTTATATTTTTTTCTTTCAACAATTAGATAAATCACATCAAAAATATACTAAATACATTTGTGATTATTTGTGACGTCAGTTGAAAAAATTATAAGCCAATCACTTGTCATCTTTTGCTATTACTTTAAAAATTAATAAAAAATAATTGAAAATCTTTATAGCATTAGTCATATTTCAAGTCAATCAATAAAAGATAATTTATTATAAACAAGGACCATCGTTTATTATTGAGATTTCAATAATTTAATATCTGTAATTGTCATTAATTTTCTTATAGGGTCTCTAATTGTCATTTTCCCATTTTATGTGTTTGGCATAATAATTCGTTTATATTTTTTTTCAAGAAAATCGTATTACATGTTTATTGAATTTATTTTAAAATATACACGCTTTCGTTGAAGCCATAATAGTAAAAATAACCCAATCACTATTGATTTCTCTATTAAAATTATAATCGAACATGTGGGAATTTTTCATCCTTCATTCAACTCTATGTCTTTTCAACAGGGGAATATAAATTTAATTTGTTTTAAATTTAAACACGGACTACTTTTGATCAGCTCGGAAAAATTTTAAATTGTGTTTGGATGGATGGATTTAACTTGAAAATTTAAATTTAAAATCTCAAATTTAAAATTTATAAATTTTAAATTATTTGTTTGGATGATATGAAAAATTTTAAATTACAATATTAAAATTTTTTATTTGGATCGAAAGTAAAATTTCAATATTTAAATTCTATATTTAAATTTAAAAAAACTTAAAAAATTAGTCAAACTCGACCATTTAAATGGCCAACTTCTATCAGGTTCAGACAAACAAAGTCGACTAGAATTGTGGCACCAGTGATAAACTGGATAGGACTTCCAAGTTCCTTTGGGACCGAATCATCACCACGTCAGGGATGGAATGATCGACTTTCACTGAGATTGGACTAACGACAACGACGAGGACTGGATGGCCAACTTCCACTTGAACTAAACCCATAGTGACGACAGACACCAAACACTAGACTTCCATCGGGATCGAACCGACAGCTACCATGAGCATTGGACGACCAACTTCTGCCGGGATCGGATTAATGACTACCATGAGCACCAGACAGCTGACTTCCACCAGGTCAAATCAACGGTGACGACAGGGACCTGATGGCTGACTTTCACCGGGATCGAACCAATGGCGATGACTGGGACCGAATGGCCAACTTCTATCAGGACTGAACAATTGATGATCATGGGTATTAGATTCTTGACTTCCACGAGCACCAGATGGTCGACTTATATTGGGACTAAATTGATGGTGAAGATAGGGACTGGACAGCCAACTTTCACTGGGACCAAACCGACAATAAGGACGAGTATTAGACAGCCGACTTCCACATGGACTAAAATGACAATGAAGACGGGGACCGTATGGCCGACTTCCATAAGAACTGGACCGACAGCGATGATGGCACTAGACACCTAACTTCCACTGAGATTAAATTGATGGCTACCATGGGCATAGGACGACCTTCTTCCACTGGGACCAGACTAACGATGATGCTGACCAGACTGAAGGGATGGCGATTGTTTGATCCTCTTCGGGTGGAGGTCGACCATTCAATTCTAGTTTTCGTCATTGGTCTAGTGCTGGTGGAAGTTGGTCGTCTAGTTTCCATCATTGTTGTTGGTTAAGTCTCGATGGAAGTCAACCTTTCAATCCCCATCATAGCCATCAGGTCAGTTCCCATCTTAGTCACCAATTCGGTCCACTAGAAGTTGATTGTTCGGTCCTCATCCTCCTCGTCGGTCTGATCCTCGTAGTCGTCGTCAGTCCAGTCCCCATCATCACCGTCGATTCGATCCCTGTGGAAGTTGGTCATCTAGTCCTCGTTGTTGCTGTCAGTCAAGTCACAAGGAAGTCTGCTGTCTAGTCCTCATTGTTGTCATCGAACAGGTCCAGGTGGAAGTCAGCCGTCCTATTCCCATCGTTGTCTTCAATTCGATCTTGATGCAAGTCGATCATCCCGTCCCTTCCCATCTCAATCAATGATGGCAGTTTGTTTTTGTCAACTTTAATGGTTCAGTGCAATTACCATTAGTAGGTCGATCAAGTCTTCGTGCATTTGGGTCAAATTACAAAAGAGCTTGAGTTAGGATTTAAAATAATAGGGTTTAGAAAGGATTTTAAATTACAAAAAAATTAAGAGAGAACTTGGATTTGAATTTGGATTTACCCAAATTCAAATCCATATATGTTTAATTAACCCAAATCTAAATCCATATATGTTTAATTATCCAAACAATGAATTTGGCTCAAATCTAAATTCATGTATATACAAACATAATATCAATAATATTTACTAGATTGCATAAAAATGAAAGATACGGATCCCGCTTCTCACATATGGGTACACAAAGAATCGACCAAATTAGCATTACGTGTTTTGTTAAATCCAGGGACACGCAATAATTAACTAAATAAATGGATGGAGTTTATGATGGCGCTGGATGATGGTCGTGTGTGTCAATATATATTGTTAATATCGTATACACAACTCGCAAGTAGTGGGACCTGCGAAAGAAGGTTATAAAATGAAGCAGCCTCAAAGAGTTGATTGTCCATCAAATGAAATGAAACCGATAATTGTAGGTTGTGGTCAACAAGTGGAAAATTCTTACATCCACTGATACGTATCAGTTTAATTAGATAAAATTTAATGTATTGTTATTTGTATTGATTTTATTTTTAAAATAAAATACATATTTAATTTTTTATCTTTTTTCTCTCATAATTAATTTATATTTACAATCGATATATTTTTATTGAATAATATATAAATGATGTAATGTATTAAATCTATATGATAATTTCTCTAACAAGTTGTCAGTGGAAGGAGAAGCAAATCTTTCGATCCAACCTATAAAACAATTTTGCAACCATTTCATTATCTTAAAATATAAGACAATTTGTTAAAAATAAAATCTAATTAATATTAATTTTTTAATATTACCTTTTAAATAAAGATAGAATTGAAATGATTAATACTCCTTTTGTTAAAAAATATAAGACATTTTTAATTAAATCTCACCTTCAATAAAGTAATTATCTACTTTCAAGCTAATCATATATTTTTATATTTACTCTTATTAAATATTCTATAATAAATATAAAGTCACTATTAATAAAGGACACTTTACATTTTATAATGGTGTGAGTATATATTGATTAAATGTGTAGATTTAAAGTTATAATAAATGAATGACTTTTTAAAAGTTTATATTGTGTTTTTTAAAAAATAATTTTATAAAATCTATTTATTATATTTTTTTGATATACCTAATTTTATTGCAATTTATTTTATAACTTGAGAGGGAGGAAATATTAATGTATCAACTTCATCAACTCTATTATAATTATACTCTACCCAATGCCCCCTTCACATTCTTCCCTCCTCCTTAATGAAAGGGAACGCGTATGAGTCTATTTAAATTTCAGTTAGGTATAATTAATTATAAAATAATCAATTCATATGATTGATTTTGATTATAATTAATTATGTTATAATGTAATTTATTTGAATATTAGTTTTTAAAATTAATTTTTACTGTATAAATTATCATAAAGGACATTACTTTTTACAATTAAATTATTAATAAAGTTGTATTTAATATTATTGAATTTGTTAAACTTTATTTAAGAAGTAAAATATATTATTTAATGAAAAAATTAAATTTATAAACAACTTTCCAAATCTTATTTTAAAACATAATTTTGACTCATTAATCAATTATCAAATTTTTTAACTGTTTAAATAATTTTTATTAAAATTGATTATTTGGCCAGTTAATCGATTATACGTTCAATCCAATCAGGCTATGTGTATCTCTTGCCATCTTAGAGAAATCTCGTTTAAATTCCTCCTCAAGCAAATGCCTGCTGAGCTTCTCTTCCCGGTGTTCATGCCTCCTCCCACAACCATCCGTACATTCATTATTATTGTACGAAAATAAAAAATAATTTAATTAATCCACTTTAAATTATTCAATTTGAAATTCAAATATATAAATATAGTTAAAATAAAATAAAAAATAAATAAAAATGGTATGTCATCCCAAACCCAACTTCACACCCTAAATCTATCAAATAAATTTATTCAAAAGGATAAATAATTCTTTCAAACTTATTTATTTTATTTGATAAGCAAGTCACACATATTAAATAAATAATTTATTATTTTCAAAAACTTAACATATTAAATAAAATTGTCATTACTTTACTTTCTAATTATCTTAAACTAATTCCATATATTATATAAGATAGTTGAAAACTTGTTATATAAAATAAGATTATTTAATATATGTACACAGTCTTTATATATTAAATCATATTAGACAATCCACAATGAAAGTTTTTGAATTGATAATCAAGAATTAAGATAGGGTATTATCTTAAATGTGCTAAATAGAGTTTTCAAAGACTAAATATAGAAAATTTAAATACATATTAACAAAGTAATTATCATTCGTTGCCTCTTTGTTTGTAAGTTTTGGAATGTTAACAAAATTAAACTCAAAGTGATGAATAGATAGAATTCATCTCAAAATGCAATTTCACATAAAGAATATGAAGCTAATCTTATAAGGATAATCTGTTATTCGATATGATCAGGAGCGCTAGGAGACATGCAATATATTTTTAGAACGTCTCACAAAAGGCTTCCAAATGATTGTGAAGATTCGGCCACCCTATAATAATGTTGTCCTACAAATAGGATAAGTATTATATATTGGATGTAATTGATGGGATCTAAATTATAAAAAACAAATACAAAAAATACAAATACTTACTCAAACATCCTGGAAAATCAATTCAACATCCGTTGGATTCTTCTAATATATTTCTACTTAGCAATCTCTAAACATGAATCACTCTAACCACGATGTATCAATCCTTTTTTATTGTATTAATGATGCGAATTGCATGTATCTTAGATGTAAAAGCTATTAATAGTATGAATAACAGTTAAGAGGAAAATAAACCAAACGTGATTAGAGAAATGAGATGGACGTGAACATATGAAATGTGTTATTGACCTAATGTAATTTATAATTGAATAAGGTTGAATCGGGAGAGAAAATTAAGGGGTAATTTTTAAAAATGAAGATGATAGATATTAAATATTTATTTTTGTGAGCATAGATATTTAATGTATTTAAATTTTAACAAACTTCATGAGAGCCTTTTCAACATATTAGTATTATTCAAAATTTAACATCTCAATATTTTCCATAAATAACAAACGATAGTTCTAAATACTTTATTGTTAAATAAATTAATATTTATATTATGAAATTTATAATATGTAAAATTTAACACCATGAGATTCAAATTATTATATAGATTAATATCTATACTTTATCATATTTATAATTCTCTAAAATCACGAGGATAGTCTAAATATTCAAACACATATTTTCTAAATATTTAAACAAATAACTATTAGTTTAAATTTGAATACCAATATATTTGCATATATATATATATATATATATCGATCATATGACTCTAGATTTTTAACATATCTTTATATTGGATCAAAACTTTAAATAGATAGATATTAATCTAAATTTAAATATGATAAGTTTTGAATTTCAAATAGGTAAAAAATAATTTTTATATATATCTAAAAATTAAAGTCATTCCACACCTAACTCCAAACATGAATAACATATTTTATATATATTAAAAAATAATAATTAGCTTGAACCTAACTTTAAATCTAACTTTAGAGCACGGAATTGCAAGAAAGATATTCCGAAATATAGAATTACAACAAATCTAAAAATGAACACGTGACATTTTCTCGTAATCTTTAATCCTACTTATATATATATATATAATGATTTTGAGTCATTTTTTCCCAAAAAAATTAATGACCTTAAAATTAAACAAACAAACAAACAACACTGCTACTCCTGTCCTGGTTCTAACTTCAGTCTCCGTAATCATATTTGATATCCACAGGCTTATCAAATACTGCATTTCTTATGTTGGTTTGAGATCGGAGGCATAGAGGGTTCCCAACCATCTATGTACACCCATCCACACACATTATTAGTGCAGATGCATACGATAGATAAATGGCATAGCCAAGAATGCAAGGCAATTCCCTATCATAACAATCATTTCAATTAAAAAAAAAAGAATTAATATATATTTTTAACACAAGTGCAATGGTATAGCTCAAACATGGTGCGCTGACCAAGTCAAATCAAATTTGCCTGTGCGTGGCAATGTAGGCTAAACCATCAGACGCCGCACCAGACAGTACAATACAAACAATCAAGCACATTGGTACACCATTATTTTGCCCCCTTTTAATTAGCTATAAAATGAATACAGCTACAAGGAAATATGGTCGACAGTTGACACTGCACTCAAACATCCAGCTTACTTTCGGCTGCGGCCAAGAGAAGCTATAACTATCAGGTAAAGGATTGAACTGCTGATGATGTGGTGACTAAACTAGAAAAGAGGCCCACGGCTAGGGCTGTGTTATAGGTGCTTGGTTCGGCTTGCATGGAATTGTTCCTGGAGTCAATAAAAGTCTCGTTTAAGAAGGGTCCACCAACAAGTGCTCCCGTGGCTACGTTGGGATTAGGATCAGATGATTCGAGCCATCGGAAACCGTCTTTGCAATTAGGCTTTTCATCAGAAGGAATTGAAGCTCCCCTGTGATGAACGAATAGTGGGAATTTATCCCCATATCCAACTAGATAACTCATATGCATAGGATTATTGCCCAAGACATAATTAGCCTGCAAGAATAGCAGAAAGTTTTCAGTCTGGACAAGGATCACTTATTGCAGGATAGTTGACGTTCTGTGCAAATGATGATGGAAAGTTACCTGAGATTTGGCGAAGTTCCGGAGATCTTCTGGGCTGAAAGAATCTGAATCACAACTTAATTTGTGAGTCTTCGAAGTAAGCATATAATCACTGTAAAGAGTAGCTAAGAATGCTGAAGCAACCGGTTGCTGCAGAGAGTTCCATTCGCTGACCCATATAAGACCATCTGTATTACGGAAAAAGAAAACTACTTACTGAACAAACAATAGTAGAATTATCAATATTATAATGAAATTTCAAATTTGATATTAATCATTGACAATATGCTCATCCAGATCACACTCACGGGCAACACTAACTTGCCAGCAAGTTAATATTATAGTATCTGTCTAAATAACTGAATTCTGCCCCTTAGTAACTTCCCTCAAGATGGACGCAGGCTCACAAACAACCATTGACCACTCAGACGAATAAGCAGAAACTATCCTCTATGCAACATTTTCCTGATAGAGTTTCAGCACTTGAACAACTTTATCCATTCATTGACGTTAATAATGGAAGGTAGTGCAAAGAAGACGAAAACATTTTTGGCATGAGCATGAAACAATAGCTTTTAAGGAGAGCATTACTATCAGTTCTGCTTTTTGTGGCTGTTGGAGAATCTGGCAGAAGACCACACATTACAGCCTCGGCTGTTTTCCTGTAACTTCGAAGACCAGAGCCATATGAGCTGGTAATGTCATTGGCCTTAAAGAAGCTTAATCTGGATAACAAAACCTGCTCAAAGTCAAAGAAAACAAAGATATTAAAGGTAAAAGAATATAAAGAAAAACCAATTCATCATCACCGATGAAAACAGAGCATCATCTAAGGTAAAAGAAACATTACTCGCGATTAAGATAAACCCTGTTATGAACACACAATTTAATTTCCAGCCACTAGTTTCCCCTAGTCTTCTTTATGTAAAATCATGGGAATCTGATGCGTGGGTTGTAATCAATATCTGAAACCCATTTTCAACTGAAGCATTGACGTAACTTGTGATGATCTTTAGCTAAAAGATACGTGAAAACTGGAGAAAGATTGAATGTTTCCCAATAATAAAGGAGGAACCCACCTGAGTTCCGGCAAGCTTGTTGTCCCAACTAAACCAGGTTGGAGTCCCCCACTGAGCATAGTCTTCTCCCTTTTGACCAGTCACATACTGAAGATAAGAATCATCATTTGTAGCATGATAGAGCCAGCTAGCTGCCCACAAGAGTTCATCACCATATCCTGTTGAATTATAATACGTCTGGACTTCAGGAATGCTCTTACTATAAGATCCCTTGTTCTTTTCCGCAAAATTAAACAACTCTTTTGCATGCCTGAGGAGAGTGCTTGAATATGTAGAATCACTTTTCTTAAAGACCAAAGATGCCGAGGCCATGGCTGCGGCAGTTTCAGCTGCTACATCTGTTCCAGGACTAGATGTGTTGACCTGAGTAAGTGGCCTTGCCTCAGTCATGTCTTCAGGCCTATCCCAGCATGAATGATCTGCAGCAGGGTCGCCCACCTGCCCAAAAATATATTTTGAAAAATGAAATAGATCAGATTAGGCTATCAGGAAGCCACTTTAATAAAAGGGCAAGCAGGTGAGACAGTCCTAACACCAAAAGAGAAAGTCTGAAAGCAACTGGCACGTGAAGAAGACAAGGAATAATTCGTGTTTATATATGATCACTATCCATTGATCTGTCCTACACAACAATCACCACAATGCAGTGAAGTCTGAAAAGCATGAAAAAGGGAATAGAAAGGTAAGGGAAAAGTATTAAAATTCCCAAAGGAAAAAAAAAAAAAAAAGACACACCCTAAACACCATCTGATGAAATATAAGAATTAATATATTTTGAAGAAACCTAGGCTAGTAGATTATTATTATTATTTTAGGAAGAAATATGTTTTCTTGTGTTATTTTAATATGTTGTGTCCTTTGTGTTATTTTAATATTTTGTAAAAGGAAATCTGAAACCTAGCTTTATATGGACATGGTATTAAGGTTTCCTTTTGTGTTATTCTGTTAGAAGGGAAATCTGAACATTAGCTTTTTTTTGACAAGTGATTAAGATTTCCTTAATAGGTAGGACAGTTAGTTTAAATAGACTAGTTTGCATTTGTAATGGAACACTTGACGAATAAAATATTGTGAGAATTCAGATAGCTTCTCCCTCTCCTCTCTCTCTCTGCGTTTCTGCCTCTCCGTCTCCCCCCCCCCCAATTCTGTTCTTCATCTTCTTCATTTCTCCCTCTTTATTTCTGGTTTTTTCTACTCTCTCCCTCTGTCCAGTACTGTGCAAGCTTCTGTGAGTGTGTGTTACATCACCGTCGTTTTTATAATCTCACGGCATGACATGGCATTAATACCAAAGAAGAAAAAGGGAAAACAAAATTACAGGATGTAGCTGTCTAAGACGATACAAGAGTCATGAAGGATATGAAATTTATGCATACACTACACAATAGCTAGCTCGCACATAATGCTGGCATCAAATGCTTTTCAGAAGGATGTGCATCCAAGCCAAAAAAAAAAAAAAAACCGGAAGGTGAAAGCTACAATAACCTGAATGTAAAGCACATTCTCAGAAGGATGCGCACTGATGAGATAGTCAGTGATCCACTTGAGTGATTCTTTAGCAGGCTGCAACTGGCCAACTTTATCCATATTATTTCCATATTCCAAGATGGCCCAAGATAACACGGTAGCAGTAAATGCCATTGGAAAACCAAACTTCATGTGATCCCCAGCATCGTACATCCCTTTTGTTAAATCCAACTTCGATTGGCTTCCATCTTTAAGAGCTGAGTCCCCTCTCCAGGATATTTTGTTGTCCACCAACCTACCAGCTGCAATGAGGAAGCATGGTTATAACTCAACTAATCCTAAAGACGTAGGGGTAAAAAAATTAAGAAATCTAAGCAACGCATAGCACACCATGATTGAAGTAATTAAGAAAAATCGAAAGGCCAACAAATCTATATGGAACTCAAATTAATTTAAAAATTTTTTTGAGATAGAAATTATTTCTATTTAAAGAAACATATATGATCTCTCAAGAGATTAGTTATTAAAACCAACAAGTCAGGGGAGCAGTATACCACTCTTTCAATAAAAAAAACTAGAGAACATAAAAGGATGCATGAATGCAAAGTAAGAAATACCAGCAAAAGAATACAGACGTTAATATTTGGCTTGTTGGCTCAACTAGTATGCTTCAGAACAAACACCAATACTTGGAACGAGAATGAAATAAGAAGCTCGTCTAAGATATCCCAACTATGTCATACGTACAACCAAGCAAACAGAAACCGAGAAAATGAACCCCCCCCCCCGGGAGGGGGGTTGGACAGAATGGAGAAAAGGCATAGAAACTAAACAATTGCATAGGATAGTAGCGGGTGGAAAAGAAAAGAAAAATGATCAATACTAAAAGAAATGCATTTGAAAAAAATTATATATATATATATATATATAGAACAAGAAGTGTTACATTTTTGTATATCGAAGAACTGCATTGAGAGTTTGAGAGCGGAGGCATAATCTTCGTCGTTGGCGCTCTTATGGTGGTGACCAAATTTCTTCACCAATGCATATACAACGGCACCGACGACGATAGCAAGAACGACAAACGCCAGAAACCAGCCGCAACATGATCCCCTGGACCTCGACTTTTCGGCCATTTCAGAGAAAGCGCTTTGATTACCACGTCAGCCCCCGGATCTATATCAGACTTAACACATTGTTCAAAAACAAGGGTCGCTTCCAAGGTGCCCGTGAAGCGCCACGTGCGAGAGAAATTTATAGGTACCTGACAGCGAGAAAGAAGAGAGATCTAGCTTGAGACAACAGCTACGTTTAGAATGCAGTTATCAAACAGGCTTGAGTATTATTGACTTGAAATGCATGAAATTAAAATTGGAAAACCCCGAAAGCAGGCAAGCGAAGCACCAACATCAGAACAGAAGAGAGGAAGAGTTGGATCTGAAGTTCTGAACTAACCAGGACAACATATGACCCGACCCGAGCGCCAGGTGGAGAGAGTGGAAACTGAAAATGGCGGGTTCCGAAGACCACCGACGAAGCTATACTTGAGGCATCGCTTCTTTAGGTGTTATTTGAATGACGCAAATGCCCCTCCTGAAGTTAACCAACCAACAGTGAGAGGTCGGGAAGGTATGGAAGGTTGTATATGTAAAAACAATTAGCCAAGAGACGACCCGTTTGTCGGTGGGCTGGGGATGATCTGGTCCATATACTTGAGTGACATAACATGGACCCTTCAACCTAGAACCCTCTAAACTTTTTTTCCCCTCCGGTTGGCGGTCCGATTAAAAAGAACGATTTAATTTTAAGTAACTTTTGAAGTATTTTAAAAATGCTAATAATCCGACACCATATGATTAATATTTCTTATTAAAGATTATGACATGAATTGCAAATTATTAAAGAAAATGTGGACAGTTAAGATGTGAATTACTAAAAGTTTCAAAAAATCAATCAAATTAATTTTTAATATTTTCTATTAAAAATTGAGAAATGAGTTGTTAATTATTTGTAGATCATTGTCGAATTCAAGAATGCCAATTTTAATTTACTAAGAATTTGAAGCAATTGATATAGTCAATTTTTATCTTTCTTTATTAAAGCTTGAAAGGTGACTTGCAAATTATTTGCAAATCACTACTGAATCCGTGCGGCCAAGGCAAATTGCAAATGAAGTCTCATGTCATGCATAATTTTCTTTAAGTATTAACCTTGTCATTTCACATTGATTTTTAATGACACAAGCACCTTTGTTGCTGTACTGCTATTTCAAAAATGATTTGAGATACAAATGCTATTAAGTTACTTTTTAAAAGACATATCTAATTGTGAATCAAACAAAACTTGTTCGTTACTTTTTTCGTTCTGAGACTCTTACTTCATCTATCATAAATTATAAAATATTCTTAAACAAAATTCTATATATTAATAAAACTCATTAAATATAATTTATAATTTTAGTTTTTAAAAATAAAAATATAATTTTTTAAAAAATACTCTTTATTTAATATTCCATTTCTAAAATATTAAAAAAAGAGAATATAATGAGAATGATAATATTTGAATGTTGACAAAAAAGGATAGTATTTGAATAATATCATTTTTATCAAAGCTTATTATATTTTAAAACATTAAATATTTTAAAAAAGTGTTTTATAATTTGAAATAGTGAGAGCATTTTCTGTTTTTATGTATAATCTTCTCCCTAACCTTGCTCGTTCGAATTTATCATTTTCCTTGACTTAAAATACCAGTAACATAGAACCCAATTTTAAAAGTTTGGTATGGTCATGGACAGTTTTTTAGGTTGGTAAAAATGAGTTTTTTTTTAGGCTTTACGCTAACACTCATTCCTAGGTCATTAAGTATCGGCTCCCAAGTGGGAGAAAAATTGAGTCTCAGATTTGCTTTAGCAAACCGTTGGCATCATCCCATCTTAAGATGTGGGACGTGTCGTCGCACGTCCCAGCAAGGTGGAATGGAACAATCTTATGTTGGAGAAACGTAGAAACCAAGCCACTTTTCCCGTCGCTGTCTCCCTCTCTTTATCAGCAACAGCTAGCAACCTCCACACGTCCGCATGCCTCTATCCTGGCATCTTCATCCGTGTGTATATACAGAATACATATTTAAAGTCTGGAGTAGTCCTGTCGTTGCGTTACTTCTTCATTATGATACCTGTAGGAATCCATTTGGCATTCTCATGTGAAATCTGCCCCTGCTCTGATTAGCAAATAATCCAGATCCATCGCTATATATGAGAAAAATGTGAAGAAACAGTTAGTAATAGATTGTTGAGAATTCAGTGCTGGTTTGGACAGGGAGAAAATGAAAGGAGAATAGCAGAGAGGAAAAAATATCAGTAGGCAAAACTTATAAAAATAGTAAACAAAAATTAAGAGTTTTGCGTCGTAGTAATATTTTCCCTTTAGTTCTCTTTCCATCCAAACTAAATGTTAAGAGTGGCGGTGAATCATATTTTGCTTTTAGCAGGTTGTGGCTGTGGTGACGTGAACCCTTCATATAATGTATAACAGGTGTTGGATCTCTTCTTTCGGAGATCCTCGCAACAGATATACTCACCAAGTGATTGCGACAAATTCTACAGTGCAATTTCTCCATTTCCCTTACCAGTGATAAAATAGTTTGCAAGGGAGAAACCCATCTGGTGAAACTACTGTAAGATTAGGCTATCGTAAGCGATGCAAAGAGTTACTTGGAGATTCAACGGCATCTAATTCAAGAATACAAGAGAGGGCAGCTTGGAATGCATTATAGCGTCTTCTCCTCCATCCCAAAATTTGCTCGTTGATTTGGAAAATTAAAAGGACGACTTTTTTGCTTGGGATTCGCGAAGGCCTCTGGTTTCTCAAGCACCTTCGACTCTTGGGGCTTTTCACTGACAGAAAATGGGTAATTCCTGCAGGGTTGCGATTTCACCTGGGTTTTCACTCTTTCTTCGTAGACAATCCGGGCCGCAGTTTCTTTGGGCCTTTCACCCATTTATCATCCGAGAAGGCAAGAAATAACAAACCTCACCCACCCTCGCCCTTGCTTGGTCCCTCCGAGGAGGCTAAAAATCAATATATGGGCGCGACACAATAAATGATTTTGGAAACGGGCTCCCATGAATGCCATAATTATTTATCCATGTCGTGCATTGACGGTCGCATCGGATATTCAGTCCATATGATATTATTTGGGTTAAATGTAAGACGTCATCTGCTAAAGTGTTTTGAGTAGGTTATAAAGTCATATAGACTAAATGATTAAAGAGTCAAATCCAATCAATAATCTAAATAAAGGGGCCAACCTTGAGCTTAATGGAAAACCATGGTTAGACAAGCATGTCAAAATCTCGCCAGTTGCAAACTTACTTCGTGGACCATTGGTACATAAAGATATAATCTCAAACGATTTTGGATCTCGTAGGAACAACATCAGTGTGCCCAAGTACCTCGGCAAGACAGGCTGGTTGCTAAAACGAAAGATAGTGATAAAAGATCATGCCAGGAGTTTCACAGGATCCTCGATTATTCGTAAGAACATTCAAATTTTAAGGTAAAAGTTACCGTCACTTTGTCATTATAAATAGAGCATCAAATCGCAGAAGAAGACAACAGTCAGCACTCGAAAGACTCGCATTTTGTACTCATAGTTCTTAGGTTTATCCATTAATTTTTATCTTCAATTTGGACTTATAACCGTTTACATTTCATAACGTTTTAATAATAATCAAACACTTGTTCTATCAAGTCTTGCTTATCTTTTACATCTGGATAAATTATGGTGAGAGAGTTTGGCAACCCTTTGTTATCAAATAAGACTCAGAGTTTCTGACACGCCTGATAATTTGTTGTTCTTGACGAACAAATATACTCGGTATTTTGAGTAATTTTTTTTTACCGAATAAGCATTTATTTCAATATTTGAAATTACCATCAGATTGTCCCAACCAATAATTCAATTTCTAGTTTGAAATTAACATCTAGCTATATACATGGAATATATTACTATCACTAGTAACTATGTGAAAACTTAGGTCACGTTTGGTTATTAAAACAGAATGGCTTGAAAAAATAAGAGTAAAAATAAGATGATCAAAGAAAATAGGTGAGCATATTTATAAGAAAGAGGGTTAATTTAATTTATGAAATTAAGAATCATAATTCATGAAATATTTTTAGGGTATGATGAATTGTTAGTATGAGCGTTCAAACAATGACCGTATACTTTAAGAATAAAACAAATGGGGGAAAGCTTAATTTGATAACAACTGAATGCTCCTTCATAGCTTGCATTTCGGAGAACAAATATCCGGTAAATTGGGCCAGCCAGGGCACATGAATGCACGCATGCAGGTGATTAGGAAAAAGTAAACACGAATATAAAACAGATGGGAAATGAAAGCAGAAATTGGCAAATCAGACCTATAATCATAGGAAGATTGGCTGAATGAATCAGGGAATCAAATAATATTCCTGTCCTTCCTTTTTTTTTTTTTTTGGGGAATGGTTTGTGGCGAAAGGAACCCACATATTAAGAACTAATGAAGTATTTTGCCCTCCACTATTTGATTGTATGTAATGGTTTTGAATGGCGTGTGGTTGGCCAAATCTTCGCCTCCCTTTTCAACCACCCTCTCAACCAACTGATTAAAACTACCTGCGTGGAGACCAAATCATTGCACGCAGAACTAATCCAGTACAAATCCACATGCTATATCCAGCCGAAGATATAGAGATATACACGTAGTAGGTGTCGTATCTAGGAATCGAAGCGGGGACAGAGATAGTGCTGGGTTTAGTGGACGGACAGGAGAATGGAAGTATATGCTTGGGAGAGTGTGGGCGTCCACCAAATGCGTTGGAGTGAGCGAATTGGAGTATATGAACGTTTATTCTTTACTGCGTGCTTTGTGGGATGTTTCGTTGGCTCTTTCTGCTTTGCCTTTTTCATCCCTCTAGAATCCCTCCTGCATCACATTTCATCATCTCCACTCGCCCCTCCCTGCCCTGTCTTTTTTCTCGGATCTCGCGTCATCACTTTTTATATAAACTCTTGTTGCCTTTGTTACTACCCTTCCCAGATATCAAAATTAAACCTTCAACAAAAATGAAGACTTCAGTGATCTTTCGTGAACAAGTTTTGTAAGCTACGAAGATTAATACAATACCTGGGCTCAACAGAGGTAAACGAAGGGATTCCAATAGAGATAAATAGTGAAGGAAATTCAGTGTTTTGTCTCGTTCAGTTTGATTGGATTACAAAAATAACAACAGATGAACAAACGCTGTTGTGGGGAACGCGGGAAGCTTTCAATGACCAATTAATTAAGGGATGGCCTTGAGTCAACCATAATTAGTCAAACGATTTCTTCAATTGTATATGGCAATGGGGCGAGGAAAGCTCCTCGGAAACTGCATTATCCTGGTCAAGAGCCTGTTTCTCCGCTGCCACTCAGCTCACTTGTTAATGGACTCTGAAGTGTTTTCAATAATTGCTCTAGGTCAACACCATCGCCTCTCGCTCCCCCCCCTAAAAAAAAAAAAAACTCCCCAAACCCATTGATCACAAATAGAAATTTCCCTCTATTTCCTTGCTCTCTGCTTCAACATAAAATTGTTTACCTTCCAGGATTTTAAAAAATAGTCCCATTCTTGTAGTCATAAATCAACTATATGAAAAACGAAAACCACTCAGATTTTCATTTGGATCAGCTTTTTTTTTCCCCCTTAACTTTTATAGGCAGAAGATCTACAAATCAGTGCGTCTGTTTCCCTATGCATAATGAGAGAGTCGTGTTTTAGTTTTAAATTTATCGCAAAAACGGAATTTTTCATTTGATTTATGAATGATATATGAAGCATGGCTTATATAACAACTAGCAATATACCCCTGCGGTGTGTGGGATATTCTTGATTTTTATATAAATCAATATTAAATAAAAATTTAAATGTTATGCAATATATATATATATATATATATGTATATGTAATCATTAACTAGTGAATTTAGTAAAAATATATAATATAATTGGGATGCTAAAACTTGTCAATGGTCAATAACAGGTATTGCTGTTAATGAGATGGACTATATTGCCACTTAAGCATGCGGTCTTGATTGAATTTATATCAATGCATAAAATATCTTTGTAAGGTTACCTTTAATTGGCCCAACAACGCTTGAATCTGACACACTACAACCAAACCTATAATTTGGCACAGTTTTGTTCATTTAATAACCATGTATTTAAAACTTGGCAAAGATCTCTACGGATAGTTATAAAAAAATGTGACGATATTAATTATGGGAAGAATCTAACCACGGTTGGAAAAGAAAGTGGCTTAAAACCACGGCTTTTGCTATTTTTCAGATCTAACAACTTGTCAGACTTTGGTAATAGCCACGTTATATTTAAATAATTAAATACAATATTAAATAAAACATAAATTACCTCAAGTATCCAGCGAAATGCCAAATTTGTAGTAAGTTAGAGAAATTTTTAACTTCATGAAAATATATTAAACATAAAAACATACTTAAAATAAACAAGAAAAAAGGGAAGACAAGGAGCATGCATGTACGTGCTTGAAGATCCAAAGCGCGAAAGTGAAAATTAAAATGAGGGGGCATGGGTTTTATAACATTGGCCTTGAGCCACAGTTCTTAGAAAATTGTGGCTCATAAGCCACGGTTCTATTAGAAATTGTGGCTTGGTTTCTAACAAAACCACAGTCAGCCATGATTTTGCCACAATTCTGGCTCAATGAGCCACAGTTTTGCCAGAAATCATGGCTCAATTTTTGACAAAACCATGATCAACCACAGTTTTGCCAAAAATCATGGCTTATTGAGATACAATTTTGAAAAACCATGGCTTTAATTAATTTCAGGCAAAAAAAAATTATAGTGATAGGTTTTTTTGATAAAAACGTGGAATTAACCATGGTTTAAGAAAAACATGGCAATATTCTGTCGGTATTGCAGTATTTTTTTTTATAGTGATATAATCAAATAGTCATATTAAAAAAAAACTTGCCAATTATCATTTACAATCATGAATTGTCTAATCTATTTATAGTTATAACATATAAACACATTAAAAATGTATCTCTCGTGGTTAATTCTTTCTTTTTTAAGTATAGTGCTTGCTTGATATAAGTAGCGATGTGGATAGTACAAAATGGGATTATGACAACTATGTCCCGTCTCCAATTATGAAAAAGATAAGGATTGAATTTTTATCTCATCCCTTCCATTTAGGATCGAAACAAGATAGGAAAATCGTATAAAAAAGATCACGGTATAATTTGAAGATACAAAAGAAAAACTCTAGACATTGTCGATTTGTTTTGCAATGCATATAATCTTGTTAACTTACCTCACAAATCAATAGGCTTTCTTATCAACTAAATTGACTATATCCCCTGTGTTTCATCATTCATGCTATCTATATTTTTAATTTAATATCATATAGGGTACTAAAGTTTATATATTATTACTAATCAAAAGCAAACTCCCTCTTTTAGAGTTGGCAATATTGGTTGAGCCTAATAGCCTATCAAAAAATGGTAAGTTTGGGTTAGGTAAACAAAGGCTTGATAATGAGGGGGTCATTTTTAGCTCGCCAAGGCTAACTCGTCAATTTACAGGTTATCTCATTTTTCTTTCTTTATTTTTTATTTAAAATTTCAATCTACTTGCACAAGTCTTTCCTTCTTCTCCTGCATCTTTTTGTAATTTTTCCCAATCCTTCTTTTGATCAAAAACTATTTCTTTTGTGCAAATAAAACAGAGCATCTCATTTCTTTTTCTTCACCGCCATTATACACTTCTCTAGACCTTCATAGTCAATTCATCTCTTATTCTTATCAACATCTCTAGCTCGCTATTAATTGGGTGTCTATCTTTACTGTTGTTGCTTCATCTGCTGTCATCATTCTCGTGTATGTTCACTATCCATAGCGAGTTGGGTTGTTGATTCTCTTTCACTATCATCATGCTGTTCTGTGTCAACAAGAGGTTGCCATCGGGTTGTTGTCTTTGTTGTTGCCTTCTTCCTCTTCTCTGTCTTGGTTTGTCTTTGTCAAGTGGAGAGGTTGAATATCTTTCTTGGCTTTGTTGCTCTGTTTTGTGACGAACAGAGGTGCATATATAGGTGGTCAATTTTTCTCTTTTCTTCCTTCCTTACTTTTAGAGTCCAACATGTGTATATGTGGTAGCTAATTCTTTTATTGTTGGCTTAAATTACAGTCCCTTCCTTCTCGTGTGTATGACAGATTAGAACCATTATCTTCTTCTTCGTTAATGTTGTTTAATGGATGATTTATGTTTGTTGCCACTGAGCTTTGTTGAGGTAAGATGTTTTCTTTCTTTCCTCTTTAGACTATACAGCCCCACCAAAGCATTCCCTCCTTTCTCCAATTAATCGATGTAATCCCTATCTGTCATTGTTGTTGAGACTTTTTTTTTAGTTAGGATTAAGGTGATGTTTTAAGTGATGTTGGAAATTTTACATTGTGATGTTGAGTTGGAAATTTAGTGACGGAACTAAATGTTAGAAGTTAATGACTTCACTTAAATGCTTGCCACATAATTTAATTAACTGTAAATGTTCTTATATAATGCTTATAGGAATGATTGAAAAAAATTGGTGTAAATAAGATAGTTAACTTTTATAATAGAACCTAGAAAAATTATATAATCAAATTGAGGAAATATATGTCTTTATATAAAGAGTAACTTGATCTACCTATTGAAATTGTACAACACCATGAGGAAAATTATTAGACTAATGAGTAATTAAGATTTTGTTAAATTTGGAATAAGGGTTATGTCAATGGTTGAAATGGAATGCTACTAAGTATTTTGAACTACTTGATAGAAGTTATTGGTGGTGCAAACACTGTATTTCATCTGGACATTTTTTACATGATAATAAATTCAACCAAAAAATATATATATATATAATATAAAAATAAAATTTAATCCTTTTTAGGATTATATTTTCAAAATCAAAAAATCCCTAATTAATAGGTTTATTTTTATCTTAACCTAAATAATCTTTTGTTGGTTAGGATCTTCTTTTTTTTAATTCATTAAACAAATAATAATAACCAAAAAATATAAAAATATAAAAATAAAATTTAATCCTTCGAGGGTTATATTTTAAAATAATAATAATAATCTAACAAAATTAAAAAAATAATTTTGCTTAAATATTTAGAAAATCTCTCTCAAATTATTCCAATCATTCAAAAATATTAGGAGTTAACTTTTGAGAGTTAACTTTTTTTCTCCTTAAATCTTATTTTTCAGTAAAAGTGTGTGCGTGTGTGTGTGTGTGTGAATCTAATTTAAAAAAAAATAGAAGAAAAAAAGTATATTAGGCTGGATGAAATGTTGATGGATTAGCATTTCATCACAAGCCTTAAGAGGCTTTTCACAGAGCCACAGATGCTAATAGACTTGAGAGAGGCGGATGTAGAGAAGACCAGACAAAGCTTTGAGTAGAGAACCCAAAAAAGGAAAAAGCAAGATCAGACTTGCGTGCACGATTAGACAAGAATGAAGAAACCCAGAGCCACAGACACAGATAAGGCAGAAAGGAGAGACAAATACAGAGAGGAGAGCAGGGCAGAGCACACACAGAGTCATAGGCGAGTCATAAAAGAAGAGGAGAAATGGAGAGCAAACGAAAACTCACATACAGAAACAACCCATGGCAGAGACGCGCGCACACGGTGACACAACGAAAGAAGGGGAAAAGGAAAAAGAGAGAGATGCACGTGATCAGGAAGGGCAGAACAGAGATGACAATCTGAGATGAAAGCGTGTAACAGTAAGTAATCACTTACTCTATATAAAGCTTGGGATTTGAGAAGGAAAGAAAAGAAAAAAAGAGAGAGAGAGGATTATTGGAGGGGAATGAAGAAGAAGCGAAATTTGAAAATTGTTGAAAAGAAGGGACCGAGAGAGGTTTTGAGCAAGAGAGATTTGGAGAAGGGACCTACATTTTTTCGAAGAGTGAAGGAGGAAGAGGCATTGCACAGGTTCTCTAATTTCTTTGCTTTTGGATCTGGAATGTTTTGCATTTGATTTTGGCTTGCATTTCATTAGAATTCCTAGCTCTGTTTTGTGTTTTTGGGAGCATCCTTGCATATCAATACTGTAAAAAATTTTACATATGTTCTTGTATGGCTTATAAAAATCTTTTTGTTCTTTTCGGTCATGAATTTGAATGGGTGTATGGATTAAAAGGTTGAAAACATTCTGTTTGACATTTATCATAATTTCTTATATAGGTTGATGATGGCTTTAAGAAGGATATTGGATTCATTCTTCTCTATGCGTTGATGTACTAAGCATGTTTCTAGGTGTATGATATATCAATTCGAAAAATGATATAGGAAGTTAGTCATTTGGATATATGATGAAAATATTTTCAATTCTTATTATGAACTTAGGCATTCGAAGCATCTAATCTACTTGTTCCATGGCTTAAATTGGTGATATTAATCATGATTTAGTCCTGTATGCATTAGGGTTGTTATAAGTTATAATGAGTTTAGATGGTTGGGTGTTTCTTTAATTTTGCTATTTTTGTTTACAAAAATATGTAACTCCCTAAAGCATTAGACCCCTTAATGCTTCATTGATAAATCATAACAAACAGAACTCATTAAGACAAATATTGTATGCCTTTTACCTTTAGAGTATTTAAAATTTAGAGAAGTTTTACTCTCAAGCAGGGGTCACATGCTTTGGATAAATGCTCACCACCAATTATATAATAAAGAATAAAGGGCACAAAATGTTTTATTTATTTATTTACTATGTGAAATTCTAAGAGTCACTGTAGCACTCAAATTGATCACATCGTGTGTAAATTAATAAGGTTTCATAGATACGATAATCTAACTTATATATATTAATATGGGTTTCAAAGGCCCATTATTAAAATTAACTCCTTTTTATAAATAATTTATTTAAGTCTCATGTGAGAATTCAAGAATCTTTGTAGAGATTTAAATTAATTACATTATCATGTGGGATAATAAGTCCTCATGGATATCATAATTCTCAAATTATATAGAAATAAAAAAATGAATTGTGTAAATAAAATAATAAAAATTATTTATTATTAATTAAATTAATAATTTTAAATTATAATCAAATTTACTAATGAGATTTTTAAGTCATGTGAGATTTTTAAATCTCCATAGGCTTCTAAAATAATCACATTGCCACGTGAGTTAATAAAGCTCCGTAGGTATAATGATTAGGATTTCATATAAAAATATGCATTACATGCATAATATATCTAGTAAATTAATAAAAATATATTTAAATAAATTTAATTCTTTTATCATGAGAGATTTTAAAATCTCTATAGATATTTAGAATAATTATATTACTGTATAAGTCAATAAGGTTTTGTACGTATGATGATTAAGATTTTTAAAAAAGTTTATATGTACATACTTGCTTAAAAAATTATTATTAATACTTAAAAATATACATAAGAGTATAAATAAATAAATTAAGTTGCTAAATTCTTTTATTGTATGAGATTTCAAAATCTCCGCAGATATTTAGAGCAATTACATTACCGTATGATCCAATAAAGTTCAGTAGGTATAACAGTTAAATTCTCAATCATAAAAAAGTATTTTTAAACTCTTTTCTTTTCTTTATTTCAAAAATTTAAAAATTAAGAAAATAATTAAAATTAAATTATTTTTTACAATTTAAAACACACACATCAAAATTTTAGCAATTATTTTTATTTGCAAAATAGTGACTTATTTTTAATTAATTTTTCTTCAAAAAAACATTCTCACCAACAATTTTTAAGCTCAAACTATGTGGACTTTGATCTTTATTGCAAGGTACGTAGGCCTCAAAATCTGATTTTTGAGTAAAGCCCTCCATTGTAAATAAATAAATAGTCTTAACTTAACTATTATCATTTTTATATCAAACGCATGAATATGAAAGGAATAGCTAAATAATTTTAAAATTATATTAATTTAGCACAACAAACTTCAAGTAACTATTTCACGAACGGGTGTTGTAGAGTGTCTAACACCTTTTTCATACTCAATCAACTCACGAACCTATTTTTTAATTTCACAGATCATCCTTATTCTTCTTTAATCAGTTTCCCAAAATTTACCTCAAAATTTTGGTGGCGAATCTCATTTCAACCGTTCCCGCCTCGAAGGTTGGAACCTTCGCTTTCGTGCGCCGTCCGTATCGTATTTTCAGGTGTGACAGGTGGGTTCAATGAGAGCTTAAGGGGTTAATGAGGAATTTAAAGGGTTATCGAAAAGCTTAAATATTAATTTAACTTGATTATTAAAGAAAAAAATTATAATGACAAGAGGATTATTGGATTATGTGTTAGATTAATTTAAAGGCATTATTGGAGTAAGCAAAAAATCAAGGAAGCCTGAATATAAAGTTTTTTAAAACTTTCAAGTTAGTAGGTAGCATTCCAAATTAATTTTTGATAAAATGTTTATGAAACCCTTTTATTTAAATTTTACTATTATTTTTTATAAATTGCTCAAATATTTATGTTAATCTTATTTTTTTAGTTATTGTTTTACTTATGAATACGTGTTAATTTTATTAAGAATTTATATTATTGATAAATAATGATTAAAAAATATACATGACAAATAGTATTATTTCTCATAAACAGTTTAATTATTTAGTTCTATGTTGAAATGAAATTTTATTGTAATAATTTGTGTGTGGAGGAAATGATAAAAATATTTAGATAATGAAAAATGATAGTTAAACAATATTCGCTAGTGAAGATTTTGAAATTATTTTTTTTACTTCATGCATGATTGATTTTAATGAAGGTGATTGAATTCAAAACGCTGGATACCAATGACAATTTTGTTAGTCATTAGCACATCATGGTATACCTAACTAGCAAGGTGTTTGCAAAAGATGTTAGCCCTACATGCAAGCTAATACACGTGAAATGGAGAGATGTATATTTGTAAGCATTGTACCCACGCTTGTTTCGTGGCTTCTAGTCATACTTGATTGATTACTTATCTTTATAAACTGTGTTTTCACTTTTGATTGATTATTTATTATTGTAAATTGTGTATCTACACTTGTTATTCAATCTAATAAAGTCATCCTAAATTTAAATTTAAATTTTCATTTTTCCATTAACTTTCTAAAAGTATTTTATTGAACTTTATTATTATTTAAAATGTTTATAATATATGAGTTGTACATATTTTTTTAAACATTATGTGATTCTAATAGCATTGTTTAATTTACAGTGATATTATTAAGAAAACTTATTATTTATTACTAGCTTAAGTATATATTTTATTATTTTATTAAGTCACTTGAAACTAAGTTTATTAATTATTATCTTCACAATTTTTTTAAAAATTTATAATTTTAATTGAAATATAACTTATCAAAAAATTCTCTGATCTCAGATCTTATATTTGACCTTGGGTGTCTGGTGGATCATTAAAAAACTTTATTACTTAAAAAAAAAAAGGCACATGGTGATTATTTTATTTTATTCGATCTTAAATTTTGACAGAGACCCCTTTATGATTTGAAGCTTCTAAAATTTTCACCACAACAAAACCACCGTCTATTTCCTTAAGAATTATCACCAATCAAAGAACAAAACAGAAAGTGCAGTGATAAATTTGTTCACCGATATAAAACCTCCCGTCCCCCATCCCTCTCTGAGAAGTGGTGGTTTCCTTCCCTCGACTTCCTTCGAATGGCTCTCCTAACTTTCTTGCCCGAACAGTCAGATTCAGTGCCCAACTCACAAGTTCCAAAACGCAAGCGAAATAAGCCACAGAAGCAGAAGCAGAAACCACCGTCTTCATGGGATCAAATCAAGAATCTCCTCACCTGCAAACAGATCCAAGGGTCGAGAGTGCACGACCCTTCCAAAAACCCCGCTCCGGTGGGCTACTCCAAGATAGGATCTTCTTGCAGCTCCTTCTGCAGCTTCAAAGACGCTGTTCATGGCAACACACGTGTTGTTCACAGGCCTGATAACTCCTCGCCGGAGAGCAGTGCTCTGGGTCAGCAAACTGGGTTGCTGAGCCGCAAGCCTCCAAATAACTCGTCATCCCGGCAGGCCAAATCCAACGGCGCTCCGACCTGCGCTTCATCATCCAGAGGGATGCAATTCAGGAAACTCTCCGGCTGTTATGAATGTCGAATGATTGTTGACCCTTCCAGGTAATTAATTAATATATGTGAGACGCGTCAATCTTAAGATTTTCCTTTAATTTTCCCTGCATCCAGTTCATTTCATGTTGTGAAAACTGGGGAGAGAAATTGATATTAATATAGGTTTGAAATATAAGGCTCCCAATTCCGAGAAACACTCTATGTTCTTGCCCTCACTGTGGAGAGTTTTTCCCCAAGATGGAAAGCTTGGAGCTTCATCAAGCTACTCGCCATGCCGGTATCATCACTCTCTTCCTTGTCTATTTTCCCTTTTCCTTTTTGACTAATACATGCATCAGTCATTTCTTTCAATAGGAAACCATTTCACTTTTCCACAACGTCTTTGCACTTTTGTTACTTAGTTTTGTGGTCCATTTTCGATAATGCGCTCCTCAGCAAGCAGAACACACTAATAATTACTTCGGTTCTAGTTTCTAAACAAAGCTGTGTTTGTTTCCCCTTAATCCGTGGTTATCATGAGGAGTGGTTTAACTTTTGAGGAAAATAATACCCAATGAAACGGGGAACTCGAAGACAAAAAGGACTCCGCATCGCATGCATGTCATCATGATAATGGGTTGCTGGGAACTTTATTCCGGTAATCTTGCGCAAAATCCATTCCGTATTTTCGGATAATGGTAGACATGCTCCCCTTGTTCCCTCACAAGAAAATATAAAAAGAAGTGATAAAAATGCATGTTAAAAGAATTTTTATATCTTTTATAGAAGACACCAGTATTTACCGATCGAATACCACTAACCGGCAATCACAACAGACCCAATATGTTCGCCGCCCCGTATCAGGGGGCGCTGGCGCTTCGAGGTCTTCCTACTACATCACAGTTGTCTGCGCTGTGAGGAAATAAATTATCTGAGTCCATGAGGTAGTGGTACTTCGTGATTGGCATTCAAAAATACAAACATTAGAAACCCCACCGACAGTCGATAAAAGCTGTACTTCTACTCCTCTTCTATGCTTAATTAATTTTAAAAGTTAAGGTTAGTAAACTAAAGTTTATGATGCCATTGCAATTTGGCCAACAGTTTCAGAGCTGGGTCCGGAGGATTCGAGTCGAAATATTGTGGAGATAATATTCAAATCAAGCTGGGTCAAGAAGGGCAGCCCGATCTGTAAGATCGAACGGATACTCAAAGTCCACAACACGCAGCGCACCGTCCAACGGTTCGAGGAGTGCCGAGACGCAGTGAAGAGTCGTGCTCGGTACAGCGGCAAGAAGAATCCCAGGTGCGCAGCCGACGGGAACGAGCTGTTGCGATTCCACTGCACCACCCTCTCATGCGCCTTGGGTGCATGTGGCTCCTCCTCCTTGTGCGGCTCCCTCCCCGGCTGCGGCGTTTGCACCATCATCCGCCACGGATTCCAGGGCAAGTCTGATAGTGCCGGCGGCGCTGAACAACACCACTGCAAGGGAGTGCGGACCACGGCCAGCAGCGGTAGGGGCCACGACGCCTTGCAGGGCAGCGACACCAGGAGGGCGATGCTGGTGTGCCGTGTCATTGCCGGGAGGGTGAAGCGCGTGGCGGAGGAGACGCTGGCGGAGGAGGAGACAATATCGGCTGGGTCGTATGACTCGGTAGCAGGTTGCGCCGGGATCTACTCGAATATCGAGGAGTTGGTAGTGTTCAATCCAAAGGCTATCCTTCCTTGTTTCGTTGTGATCTACAGAGTGGTGCCATGCTGATGAAGGTCATCATTCTTGAGAATCAGAGATCAATATACTTTCTGCTCTGCTACACCCACCCACCCTGCTTTCACATAAAGCTGTGGGTGGACACTGGACCCTACTGTTTGTCTAATGTGTACAGTACCATGAACATCTTTTCTGGTAAGATCCACGCTGTAACAAAATCTCCTGTTTTTTTTTTTAATGGGTTTGGCCACCTGTTTAACTGCAGGCTTTTCAATATGTCAGTTTCATGGCTTTGCTTATTAATTTATTCAAGTCGAGTGCAACTGTGAACGTTGAAACTGGATTTTTTTTCCCCCGGACATTAATGATATGCACTGAAAGCTTGGATGGTTCATGTGATGGAAACAGCAATCCCATAAATAAGTGGGGCAGTTGCCATTGCAGCCACACGGTACACACATCCTAACCGTGTTCCTCTCTTTTGATATTAGTCACACCTTAAAAGTATAATTTAATTTATTTTATAAATCATGAAAATATTTTATTTAAAATTAAAATTTTTAAATTATTCTTAAAAAGTAAGAGAGAAAAAGATAAAAAAAATAATATTATATATTTTATTTGTTTTTTTTTTTATTTGAGAGTTATATTTAAAATTTTATTTATTTTTATTCCTTATACTTTTATTGTATTGGTATTGATGAGATTAATAAAAATAATTTATAAATATTACTGGAGGAGGTATTCCCAAAATGTTGAATAAAATAACCTAAAATGTCTGTTTTGTTTTTAAACTAAAATATGAGTTAACAACATCAACTTATCAGGAAGGATGAGTGTATTAATACTGTCCGGCGACTTACGAGCAAAGAATGTATACTGGAAGCATAATTACATGGTGAGTCATCGGATAATCTGATATAATTGGAAGACAGGAGATGAGTTGATGGAGTTTGACCAAACAACACTTCTCAAAATGAGATATGAGTAGTGTGTGTGTGTGTGTGTGTGTGTGTGTGTGATTACATTCAAATATTCTTTCTTACTAGCATATGGCGTACGATGTAATTTTCTGAGTTCATGAATTTTTAAATGGTTTGAGTTTGCTATTGTTAAACAAGCTTCCCGTGTCAAAAAGACAAGAAGTTTCCTACAAGTGATTCCTGAATGAATGTCACAGCGGAAGATTCTTGACTTCACGATGGGTTTATCTCAATAGTTTCTTTTTAAAGCCCACTTGTCCAGTTGATACTCGCCGGACGGAAATTTGCCAGTGTGCTAACCATGATTGTTTTGCCCACACCGACCAAAATCAAGGATGGAGCAGGGCGAAACGAGAAAAAAAAAAAAAAAATATATATATATATATATATAGAAACATAAGTGAAATGACATTTAAGGACATGTATGATGAATTAATTGTATGAAGAAATCAATAACAGTATGGAGAATTAAGATTACCATTGGGAAAAAAATTGAAAAGCACAACTAATTTCTTTTCAAAATTACAACTTAGGCCTTTGGATCTTGTAAAAGTATTTCCATTTTGCAAATTCAAACAAATATGAGTGACAAGTTTGAAAAATTGCTCGTAATAATAATCTTGCAAGCATACATAGGTGGTAACTTTTATAAGTTTTTTTTAAGTTTTTTTTTTCTGGTGAAAGAAAAAACGACCAAGATGTAACGATCACCGATAAAAATGCGTAGATTATATAGATTAAGGGATAAAACTGAGATACTCAAGTCTTAATATTCAATAATCCATAAGCTAAGTGCATCTATAAGTTTCAGATCATCAAAACAAGCTATAACAATGAACTAACACAATGACACCAGGATAACAGAAATTGCAGCAGAAAGGAGGGAAGGAGAAAGAAGATACAGAACAGAGGAAGTGTACAACGAGATAATGCTCGACGATATTCTTCACAGCCGTAACCCCCTCTCGCTTGCCTTTCTATATACCCCACTTCTTTGCATTGGACTCATACCTCTCTAAGCCCAATAGATTCTGGCTCATGAGTTGCTGACCCAAGAACCCATTTCTTTTCTTTATTAGGCCCGTTCTTGACGCAAGATCTCAAATATCGTTGGACTGCAATTTCGGCCCAGTTAGGCACCAACACTGGGTTGAGCCCAAAATGCTTGGAGACAGATGGAGCGGAACATGAGTGTGCATCTTATTAAAGTTTATAATTTAGCATTAATATTATTACAATGTTCTTACTTGTCATTCTTCCAAAAGTAAGAACCTTATAAAAATTTTAATGTTAAATTTTAATTTTTTAACACTGACATTCTCAAATTTCAGCACTCCTTCAATTATGTTTAAATATTAAATTTGTTAATATTCTTATAAAATCCTTCCTTACCAATCTCTCTCTCTCTCTATATTTATATATATCTGAGGGGAATAAGGGCCCAAGCCTTACGAAAAATGAAATCCCGATCGGGGGCGGACAAGCGGGCAGCAAGCAAGACTATTCCTTGTCAACATCTGATTCTGGCAAATAGCCAGGCCATTCTCATGATGCTGCGGAAGCACTCAGCATATTATATTACACGCACGTTAATTTAGTTGAAATCGTACTGTCGCGCATTCTTTATTTATTTTTTCTCTGTTTTTTTTTAAAAAGAAAGGGGGAACGCTGTAATTTGATGTGAAGAAGGGGAAACAGATTAAATCAAATTACTGCAATCAACGTTGTCGTCATCAGAAGTAAAACGGCGGTCAACTCTAACACACCAAACTTGCTTCAGAATGTTGAAAGCATTTATGGTGATAATGCAGCGAGTGTGATGGGGAGAAAGCCGAAAGGATTCAACTCCACAGGTGAAGGAGAAACAGCTGGGAATCACTGAATTAGGCTCAGCTAATCATTCGGGATAACGTCGGACAAGTTGGATGGGTTCCACCGGTGCCCAAAATAAGGATTTCTGGAGATTCGTCAAGGTTTTATATATGTGCATCATCATTCGCTCCTTTCTGCTAATTATCTACCTTTCCATCTATCAATGAGTGCCCCGGCAAAAGCCCCACCCGAACAACTCAAATCACGAGGATTAAGCCGGGATGTCGTGCTCGTAATTTCCATATTAATTAGATCGGGAAGACAGGAGAAGCCCGTGCCAATGATATGGGCACATGGGTGCCGCTCTAGGCCCTCCAAAATGGAATATAATCTTCGAAAGACCAACGAGACTCAACCCTCATCATGGCATTTCTCTTCCCGGGGTGAAGGCGGCGACCATGCAGCCCCATCCTCAAACACACAGCTTCGTAATCCCTGTCATCATACACACTCAAAAGCAAGAGGGCCTTCACTCCTGCACAGATCCTCAGACTCACCGGCCCCTTCCGTCTCTCACCTTCAGCCTCAACTCGTCAGCCATGCAGCTCTTCTCCCGCTTCCGCAAGATCTTCGCGCGTCTCTTGCTCTCCTCCGTAAAGGCTTCTCTGCACAAACACTGAACCTCCAAAGACGTCCTGCAGCTCCTATTACTCCTCTTATTCCCACTACAATGAGGCCATTTCTGACTGCATTGAGTTCTTCAATAAGTCAGCGCAAGATGGCTTCTTCCAGGCTCGTCATTCCGATGTCGTCTGACGTCAATCTTATTTTTCCTTCACAAACACGGATGCCTCATGGTTCGTTCCTTCCGATTTCGCCTGATTGTTTCACTGTATATGGGTCTCCATGTGATTATGCTGCTCTATTTAATCATGGTCACTTTGACCTTCATCCCGTTTTTAGTACACAACATAAAATCTGATGCATAGTCTGCTTTTGTCGTTTTATTTTCATCATAGCGAAAAGAACTTCTGGTTGCGATGCGGTGTACGGTTGGTTAGGTAAAACCATTTGTTCATTATTATTCGCTTCGCAAGCAATGATGAAGGACCAGGTCCAACCGAACAGCCATTTATAATTCCATTGTCAAATGAATAAAACAGAGGAGGAGGAGAAAGAACGAAAGGATTCAGCAATGGAAAACAAATTTAATCGATAAAATTTGAAGAACGATTTTGAACTTGGTGCGGTAAATTATATATATATATATATATATATATAACTTTTGTGGGTCCTTGCAAATGCAAATGCCAATGTTCTTCTGGATACCCATTGCAATCCATGAGTTTTATTCATGTTTGTCATCAACTGTTTCTGGGGTGTGTTTTAGTCTAAATTTGAGATACAGAATAGAGAGGTATAATTGTATGTACGATCAAAAAACAGTTGAGAAGGCAACGAAATTTAATCTGTAATAATGGTGCTTCATGAATATGAGACTCTTAAATGTGCCTCCGTTTACACTCTCATCTTACTTAGGTGGAATATGTTAATGGCTACCAGCTAGTATGATTCAAAAAGGACACGAAGAAAAGAAAGTATGGTAGCTGGCATATAAGAGTAAGATAAGAGGCTTCAGGGGACTCGTGGGTTAGCCTTTTTCCTGGAGAAGATACTAATGAGAGGAATCAAAGGGTTCTTCTTCTTCTTCCTGAGGGAAGGATGCCTCTCCAGCTTCTCAACACCCTGTGGGTGAATGACGTGAGCCACGGAGGGAGGATTCGCAAGGTGACGTACCTTTTCTTCTGAAACTCCACCCTCTCCTGGTCTGACTTGCTCAAGTTCTCAACGAACTTGACATCTTCAATCTCGCATTCCACTGCATGCTTCTCCTCATTCTCCCGTTGCCTCAGCTGTTGCAGCTCTTGCTTTGTGCGCTCAAGCTCTTCCTGCAGAGATGACAGGCAATGCGCCATTAACATGCTTTCCTCTCTCGCTCTCTCCAGATTCTGCCTCGTCTCCTCCAGCTCTACTGCTACTCTCCCCACTCTCGATGACTCTTCCATCCCATTTTCATCCCTCCCCTCTGTACCTGCGCGCGCGCGCGCATGTATATGCGCATCATAAGCAGCCTTTCCCTTTGATTTGTCTTGAATAACTAACACAACAAGAAACCAAATATTTTGGCAGCCCCACAGGGCTTGCTGCGATAAAAAGGACCATTAACTAGCAGCCACCCGTGCACGGACTAACTTTTTAAATTATCAAATTAATATTCCTGAAGGAAGTGATCGAGCTACTTCTTAGTCCTTAATTAATAAGCAGAATCAGAGCGTCCGATTGATCTATTCATCAAAGCCAGACAATTGAGATAAAATGGAATTGAGCATTGCATTCATAGGTTATGATTTATTATTTGTTCACTCTCTCTGTCTTTATTCAATCACACGACATGACAAAAAGAAGCAACATTTTAATACAAGCAAGCATATCCTGGGACTGTTCACAGCTTTAACAACTTGAAGATTGCCCACGTCCCTGCAAGCAAGCATGACATTGGAGCTTTTTCTTCAAATGCTCCAAATTATTTCCCGTGGATAGCGATTCTGGGGAGTAATAAATGGAAATAATAACCAAAAAAAAAAAAACATGACAGTTGGAAGGTCAGACTTGTCTATGAGCACCCAAAGCACATTTCTTTGTTTTTGACTGATAACGCGGATTGGCAAAATAATTGGTTTGCTGCACCAATAGATTAACAAAGGAGGGACTGTCTCGAAAGTTGCTAATATAGCTCTAGAGAAAGTAGAGATATTTGGTGTTAGATGTAATTCATATGAAATCGTAGAGAACGAGTTAGAATGAGAACCAAAGGTTTATGGTCAATTGGTTGATAAAAAGAATTCGGGCAGTCTAGTGCGCAGGGTATAGTTGATTCCATTAGGAGGACTAATGGATCACCCAGAAGAAAGAAAGACGAAACCGTGCTATAAAAGCAATCAAAGGTGGCAACAAATTAAAACGTAGTTAGTGTGTGTGTGATATAATAGGGGATGGATGCAAAGAGAGAACCTCTTCGAGCTGGGTTGCATGGAGCTCTTGCGCCAAGACTTTCTCACCGAACAACGAAACAGCGTCTTTGACGGAGCGGAATGGGGCTCTCGTATCTATCTCCGCCGCCTTCGTGAACATCGCCCCGTCTCGGTGCCACAGTTTCTGTCACAAAAACAGAACAAGTATGGACGTCCTTCTCTGGGATTTGGTATGGGACAGAGAGGGGTTGGTGACGGGCGTGAGTTCCTAGGACTGTAAAGAAATGAAGGTTTGATAAATTAATATGAGAGAGGAGCTTCGTTTCTTGGCGTCCACTTCACTAAGAATTCTGTTGCATAAAAAGGCGGTCGGCGGGTGCTGATGCTCTGCTAGTCTTTGTTGGACTCCAATTGAATGGCCTTTTAGTTAAACCAAAGAGAGAAGGAATGCATATCCTCACCAGGACTCGAGTTTTAAAAAATGAAAAAATGTGCATGTTGATGGAACTGTTTAGCTTACGTCGCTTCTACGAGAGAAGATACCTGCGCTGTTGGATGTTACTGATTTCATAATTTGACAGGAACAAATATTAATGAACTATTGTCTTGTATGGATCAGCCATAAGAAAGCATATTATGTTTCGTGTAACAGGAAGGTACGTAAACTAATAGAGACGATGCTTGTGAACGCATTTTAGAATGATGATAATATTCAGGTGTGCGATGTGATTCGGGAAGTGGTGCAAGAGGCGGGGAAAGGAATAAGTGTGTACTGTGCAGTGTGGGTCTTGGCAGAGGAAAAAAGAGGCTGATTTTGAGAATGCCCAACTAAAGCCAGCATAATTGAAGCACATCGGACTTATTCAGATTAATAGTCCAAATTTAAGAAAAAGCGCACATAGCTAATTCCAGCCAAATGTTTTTGAAGCCCGAACTTATTTGGACCGGCCTAGATACTCGAATTGTCACTTTTCCCACTACTTTGTTTTTATGCAAATTCATTTTTTTTTACAAGTAATTATTTTTATTATTATAGAACATATAAAAAGTACTTTTTAGAATACTTAAAAAATTGTAGAAGACTGAAATTTTTTTAAAAAAATTTGGGTCTTAAAATTTAAAAATAAATATTAGAATATATTTTAAATATTATTTTAAGTTATTTTATATATTAAAAATAATAAACATATAACAATATTAATTTTTTAATTTGTTTTAAGAAAATATCTATCTCATGTACTCAAATATATGGTTTCTCAATATAAAATAATCTAAAAATGAAAAAAATTAATTAACATTTAATATATATTTTTAAAAAAGTGAACTGTTATTCCAATATTTGTGCTTAACTCAAATTTGATTGGATTTGACTTGAATTTTTTTATCTTATTCGGACCAATTTGAACATAAAAAATATGTAAATTTTGCAAGTCTGGCATTAAATTTTTGTTAGCTGGTCTAAATTATTAGCTCTGTGCCCAACTAATTGAAAAGTGTTTGAAGAGACAGCTTGCGTGGGTGATGTCAATGATTAGCAGTGTAAGCTAATAAGACACCCACTGAATCCTTTGTATATTTCTCTTTGCAATGGATCAATGAGCCACACTAGCGTTTTGTAAGCTAATAAAAAATTATGTAAGCTAACCAGATACCCACTGAATCCTTTGTATAATTGCTTATAACTAGTTATCAAACGGTGAAAAAGGAACATGGGTTTGAGGGATAGTTTGGTAATTCGCAAAATCAAGAACTTAAAAACAATCTTAAATCACATAATTTTTTTATTTTTATTTTTTCTTAATTAATCCCATTTTACACCTGGTGGCCACGGTATAACGGTGCAAGAATAACAAAAACCAAGTCAGGTTAAAAACTATCAGATTTTTACAATTATGCAGTGGATTATTGAAAATTTTAATTTCTAAGTTATCCCAAGAATGTCATGGCCAGGAAGACCAAGCATTTGACTTTTGACCAAAGGAAGACAAAGCAGAGATGTGGCGGGGACATCGCGTTGTCCGACCCAAACCCCAAAGCCTCGCATTCTCCGAAACTCCAACATGACGGGTAGAGTTGGTAAACGGACGGGCCTAATTTATATGGATTCGGTCCTTATAGACCTAAGCCTTAAAGTCCAATTACTCTAATTTTATTCTAAAATTGAAGTCCGGCCCTTATTTATAGGGCTTAGGGCCGGGTCCGTAAGCCCGGGTAAAAATAAAATAAAATAAAATAAAATTCAACATTAAAATTTATTTATAATATTTTAAAACTTAACACATATCAAACCAAAGTCTCACATAATCTAAAAAATAAATAAAAAATTTAAAAGTCTAAATAAGATGAAGGCAAATATCATCATCAATCCTAATCAAGATCTCCCTCATTATTATCCATAAATAAAATATTAAAACCCTCAGATGTAGGTCTACTTGTGAAAGATGGAGGCGAAAACTCAATATTAATTATCTTTGCAACTTCTTCATCATCACCTACAATAATTATTAATTAAATTGTTTTATTATCAAATATATATCTATACATATATTACAAAATAAAATATAAAAATTACTATAAAATGGTACAAAACAATTCAACCAATTGCTGGTACAAAATATAAATCAATGTTTGCACATTATCTGGAAAGAGGTGAAAACAATACTTTATGAATAGTAAACGAACTTCACAGGCCGCCCGGGCCCGAACCCATTTTTTTAGGGCTTAAAAGGGCTGAGCTTTGAAGCCCAATTATTTTAAAAAATGTTAAATTTTTAAGTCTGAATTTTTATTAAAATGAATTTAAATAGACGGTACGTGAATTCCAACCCTTATTTCCGACTTTAATCACCGAAGCTTCGGCTTCATTACCTGCACAGCGCTGGGGAAAAAAAATGAAAATTACAACAATCCAACGGTCTGCTAGCGACCTCCGTGGAAAAGTTTGGTCCCGCTCAACTTTACTCTCCCTACAATCACTGGTATTACTATTTTCTTCTTCTTCACCTGCTTCTTAGTTAAAACTTTCACTCATCGTACGAACCATCCACTGCAATGTCTGTTGCCACCGTCACTTCCCCTTCCCCAGCTGTCGGATCCTTTCTTCCACGATCTCCACGACCGACTGGGCCTCGATTCACTATGGCCCTTCGATCTGATGCAGCTTCTGCTGCTCCCCTCCTGACCAAACTCCAACAAGATTGTGCCACTCCTTTGCCTGTTCTTCAGCGCGTGGCCGACGCGATGTCTCTTGCAATGCGGACCGGCCTTGCTGCCGATGGCGGCTCTGGCCTTCCCATGATACCCACCTACGTTGACAATCTTCCCACTGGGTATCTTTCTTTCTAATCCTCTCCCTATATTTTAATGCCCCCTTTAGTCTTTATTTCTTAATCTCTACCAACTGTTAATTGAATTGTTTCTTACTCTGAAAGGAACGAGAAAGGATTGTTTTATGCTTTGGATATTGGTGGAACAAACTTCCGCGTGCTGAGAGTGCAATTGGGTGGGAAAGAAGACCGAGTGATTTCCACAGAATTTGATCAAGTACCCATACCTCAGAAACTCATGTATGGGACCTCTGAGGTTGATTTTCCACATTCTTTCTGCAGAAATATTTGCGTATTTGCTTTGTACCTTTCTGTAATGCAAAATATCTGAGAGCACATGCTGCTGCAGGAACTTTTCGACTTTATTGCGTTGGTGTTGGCGAAATTTGCGCAGAAAGAGGGTGATAAGTTTCACATCACACCGTGAAGAAAGAGGGAAATTGGATTCACCTTTTCATTTCCTGTGAAGCAGACATCCATTAATTCTGGCATTTTAATCAAGTGGACCAAGGGTTTTGCAGTATCTGGAGCCGTATGTACTCTCTCATGTTCTATTTTATTTTCAGGCAAAGACAGAATTTTTTTTTTATCTAGTGTATGAGTCATATCATTAAATTTTTATAATAAATTATCTCTTTTATCTTCTGTTGATTGTTGAGAAAATATATATTATAAAAAAATATATATTTATATATATCTAGTAGAGACAAAGATGAGAATTTTTTAAATTTTTAAACAGAGTTAACAAATTTTAATTTTTTTTTGGTTTCAATGAAACATATTAAAAGTTATTTATAAATAAAATTAAAGTAGTATTTCTTTTATAAACCATCAAATTAATTACTGTCTGTAATTTGGGGGTGCATTGTTTATTAGGTCAGTTCCTGACCTTTGTCAATATCCTTTAGGATTTTTCTTTTAAATGCTTATCAGTACTCATCAATGCTTGAGCACAAGTGTTTTAAGAAAAGTAATAATGTTATGGTCTTGGAAACACCAGCGGACGTGTGTTTGTGTGCTGACTCCGTGATGGATTGCAATGCTGATTGCTGGAGATACAGAGGGAGTAAAAGGGTTCCCTCGTGGACTACGTGAAAACTAGTGGGTAAATTTAAATCTGATTTCTGACTACGAAGAACGTGACCTAACAGGAGCAACTAATAATGTACTTGGTTTTAATCATTGTAGACAGATTTGTAAATTGTTCTTCAATGCTCAACAAGATGTTTTAGTGGAAAATTCTATTTAATTCCAGTTGACTAATTCTGTCACTTATTGCTGTGGTGTTATTTCTTTCCATTCAACACATGCTGTCATTTTTACACAAACACTTTCTTGTTAATGCGGTGAGTTCTAGTCATTGATGCACTTGCCTCATGTGCTTGGATATTTTATTTTGACGTAGTTAAATAATAGTTGCAGAAATATATTTATCCAATACTGGCATGATGGAGAAAAGCTTTAACTCCTTACAGGCAGGAAGAGACGTGGTTGCCTGTCTAAACGAGGCTATGGAAAGGCAAGGACTAGACATGCGAGTTTCTGCTTTGGTATGTTATTCTTATGCTACTCTAATTTGTAAGTGTAGAAAGTGGCAATGACAATTGACAATGATATTCTAGTTGATGTCAAATAGGTGAATGATGCTGTGGGAACATTAGCTGGAGCAGAGTACTGGGATAATGACGTCACAGTTGCTGTCATTTTGGGTACTGGAACCAATGCTTGCTATATTGAACGGATCAATGCCATTCCTAAGTTAGAGGGTTATCACTCTCCCTCTGGCCGAATGGTTAGTGCCTTAATTTCATTACATTCTTTATAAGCTTTTCCATTGCATTTTAATCGAACAAAAACATGCCTTAAATTCAGATCATCAGTACCGAGTGGGGGGCTTTCTCAAATGGTCTCCCTTTAACTGAGTATGATAGAGATATGGATGCTGCTAGCATCAATCCTGGCGAGCAGGTAAATCATCGAACGATCTTCAAATTTAACTTAAGCAGTGTTGGCAGAGCAGCCGTGAGAACTGGTCATTATCTCTTCATACTTAATGAACAGATCTTTGAAAAGACAATCTCAGGAATGTATCTAGGTGAAATTGCAAGAAGAGTGCTATTGAAAATTGCTCAAGTGGGTGGTTTGTTTGGAAATTCTGTGCCACAAAAGCTATTCAAGCCTTTTATAATTGGGTAACCCGTAAACCTTGACTTTCCTGCAGTTAAGATTTAGATTAGGCCATAGATTGTTTCTTACCTTGTTTAGTTGCGTCCTAGGTTCAGTCTGGATTATGCTCAATATGTTTTTGGATGTATCCAATAGGACCCCAAATCTATGTTCGATGCAGCAAGACCGCTCCCATGATCTACAAGATGTTGGATCGATCCTCTATGACGTTGCAGGGGTAACTCGCTGGCAAGTGACCATAATGATACTTATTTTATATTCTCAATTTTCATAATCTTCATCCCTTTTTTTAGATTGAGGCCAATTTAAATGCAAGGAAGACCGTTGTCGAGGTTTGTGACACTATTATAAAGCGTGGTGGGCGCTTAGCTGGTGCGGGAATTGTGGGGATTCTGCAGAAAATGGAACAGGATTCCAAAGGCATCGTCTTTGGGAAGAGAACGGTTGTGGCTGTGGATGGGAGCTTATACGGAAATTATCCTCAATACGGAGCATGCTTAAGAGACTCTGTCACGGAGCTTCTAGGAAATGAATACTCCAACAACGTGGTAATAGAACATTCCAAAGATGGATCTAGCACAGGGGCTGCTCTTTTGGCTGCTTCAAATTCCATTTACAAACAAGATTCTTAGGAAGTGTAGTTCGCCCACGATTTATTGTCAACATGGAGTAATCAATCACTGCATTATCTTAGAAACCTAGTTTAATTTAACATCTCGGATAGAACTTTGCTTTTGTTTCTCCCACCCCATGCATGTGTTTGAAATTCTTTACACACACAGAAATTAGGTGTCCGTACGTCCCGGCTGTCATGAAGGGCCGAAGGAGAAGTGTGGGTATAAACGACGCAAAGAGACTACGCAAAAGATAGCCATACTAATACCAGTGCCACAAAAACAATAATCGATGAAATTGAATACTTAAATCAATCTTATAGAGTCTAATAGGCTAATTGTTTAAATGCTAAGAAGGACGTTTACTTTTTAAATTTGAACCCAATAAATAAATTAATGTGCGGCTCTTCTCCAAAAAAATTAATGTGCGACTATAAAATTACTATATAGTATATATATTCTAACAGGATAAAATCCTTAAATTTGAATTAAAATAAGATATGATTTATTAAAGGAAGTCTGACATTTTGTTGTTTTATTTTTACGCCAATACAAAAAGAATATTGGTCAAATAAAGTCTTACCGTTAATTTTTTTATTGGAGATTTAACATTTTAGTTAGTTTAAAATTTCTTAATTTATATGCAGACTGCAGTGATGTTTATACTTTATACACTAACTAAATAGTATGTTTTTAATGTGTTAATAAAATTTGAATGATCATGTCCCATCCCATAATAGTATAAGTTGTTATGAATTTTACATTATATATTGATATTTTGAAACTGGAAGTATAAGCAAAAATTAAGTCTCACCTTATATTTATGTTTTAATAGTAATAATAATTAAAAATAATAGTTACTTTAGGTTCTAAAAAGGAGAGAAATTTATTGACAATTAAATTAACAGTATATTGATAATAATTGATTGTGTTAAAAATTAATTATTATAAAATTTATTGACAATTGAATTAAACTACATTGACAATAATTGATTGTATTGTTAATGTAGTTTAGTTTAATTGTTAATAAACCTTACAATAATTAATTTCTTTGTGTGAGACTTCTATATAATTGTCCTTTTATACATTATAAAAATAATAAAATAAGTGAAAATATTTAAAAAATTTATTTAAATTCATCAATCCTAATTTCAGAATTTAAATCCTTAATTTAGAGGCAGCGCCGGTCTGTTGACCTGTTACGTTTTCGGACGATGAATGATGATCGGCAATTAGCAGATGGTGCGCACACGTGTCGGGGTGATGACACGTCAGCCTATGTTGGTTTGCCGTCTTGATTTTGTAGGGACTCGACCAGCACGAGAGACGCAGGAGTAAACGAGCTGCCCTAGTCGGGAACGAAATCTTTGAGTAAGCTGTTCCACAACTTAATCCGCCGAAGTATTAATTAATTTCACTTATAATACAAACACGTGATGGAATACAAGAAAAGTGAACGTAAATGGGATAACACACACATATGCATCGTGCAAGGTTATTGATTTTGCAGGGGAGAAGGACGTCGTAGAGGCACACAAACACTGGAGAGAGAGTAATCTCGATAGAGCTGGTGATGGAAGAAAGAAAGCGATCAAGGGCACTTGCGTCTGCCGCCATGGGTAGTCATGTTGTAATAGCAGGGACACACCTCCTGGTTGCCGGCAGTGCCCGGCGGTACGCAGTTGCATCGCCTGCAGCAAGTCCCGCACGCTCTCTTGCACATCCTCTGCCGCGACGCTAAACGACACCTCGCACTGCACGCTCCTTTGCAATCTGAAACTCATTCCCAAGCCGCATGAACTCGTTCACTGTTAATACTCTTCAATATGAATTCCCACAAAAACATATGTCTACCATCATCACTTACCTATCTGCTGAAGCACGGAGCCCTGACCGGCATCAACGAGGTCCTGGAGAAGGAGGAGAGATAGGAGAAGAGAGGCCAGCAGGAACTTTGAGAGAGCCATGGGTCGCGTTCTAGCTGGATAGATACTGCTTAGGGAAATGCTTGTTTATATATGGTCGAGTATGCAGAGAATGAAGGAATGGGGGTGGCTATTTATAGGGCCGTGAAGGAGGTAGTGATCAGGGTCCATTATTCTCTTTGAGTACTGTGCGGGAAGTAAAATGAAATATATAGAAAAGAGGTGGCATAGTGACAGGTGAGGGAACATTTGGTAGCCAAAAGCGGCTTTGGAAGCATCCGGAGGCAGAGCTGATAATCAGTGATATACTTTTCTTTGCTTGGCGGATGTCATCAAGTATCCAAAATGCCTTCCCATTTGCTCCTTCTCACAGTGACACTGGCAAATAATCCCTCGCATCTCTCACTGCGTCCCTGTCTTGTAAATTAAACGACACCTTTCATTCATCAATCATTGATTTTTAACTGACCAATTAATTGCCTACAACTCGAGAAGTTAAGCGAGTGGCTGCCTACCTCGGTGCTTTTATAGGGGCAAGCCATGGCAACATCTTGCTAGTAATTAATTATATTATTAACAAATTATGTGGTCGTTCCTAAAATACACGAGAAAGGCCACAAGCATTTGGCTCAAACTGGGGCTTGTGAGGGTGAGCATGCCAAACTGCGATGAGGAGTAATTAAAATGCATTAGCAGCACTGAACTTCAATCTCGAAGGGGTAGATTCTAACGAGGAGTGAGAGACAGAAACAGGAAGACAGACATCTTGCGGCGAGTTAGGCTTTGCAAGAGCCGCTGAAATGGAATGCATGGATGGAACGGAGGGGTTTGTGGAGTTGGAAGGCGAGGCTGTGGCTGTTACTGCTACGACAGCTCACAGCTGTCATTCACTCATATATATCAAATATTCGACGACAGAGCAGCCTGAGCTGGACTTGAAAGACGACTCATCATCTAACTGTATTGAGAATAAGAATACAACCTAGGCTTTACTACAGTGTTAGATCCCCATAATGCTACTTGAAAACGACAGCGTGTCAATCCAGTTCCTCATCATGTCATGTAACAGTGTAAATAATTGTGCACTTGCCGAAAAGCCAGGGGATTGAAGGGAAAGGCTAATATAATTGGGAAGAGCGGAAGTCCATGTCTGTCCATAATCGGCGCTCGCCCACGGTTTAAAACAACCAATAATGTGAGACCAAGTGCGTTCTCATGCAGTCACAGAATCATTTATGTTCGGCCGAGGTTGATGGGCCGAAGGCTCCCACTTTGCTATTGGTGCCCTGATGCATGGCAAGCACCCCCACTTCGATAAGCACGAGTCTGTTCCTCCATTTTTAGTACTCTAAGCTACAGTACTGTACTGATTCATTTTATAAATATATATAATAAAATTCATTGTCCATGTTTCCATGTGCCTCGTGATTAAAAGGTTCAAATTATTTTAATTTTTTAAAACATTATTACTTTCAGAGTTTAATTCCTCGCGTTCCCCTGAATTCAAGAACTAAAATGAAATCTTCCGTACGTTAATAATATTATACTATATTTGGATGCATAGGAATTTAAATTTGAACCAAATTCATTATTTGAGTAATTAAAAATACATGAATTTGAAATCTAAGTTTTATGTTAATCTCTTTATAATTTGATATCATTTCTAAACTCATATTATTTCAAATCCTACATCAATCTCTTTGTAATTTGACTAGCTCATTAATGGCGTTAAACAGGCCCAGATTGGCAGTGATGACCAAGACCAATGACCGCCACTGCCAACCAAGATTGGGTGATTGACTTTCAACATGATTGAATTGCTAGAGTCAACTGGGACCGGACGGCTAACCTCCACCAAGATTAGACTTTCGATAATGATCAAGATCGAATGGCTGACTTGCACCAAGATTGAATTGCTTACTTCAATCGAGTCAAAGTGCACTAGGACAGCACGACTGACTTTCACAAGGATTGAACCGTTGTTGCCAACTGGTATAAGACCACCAGCACTGACCGATCTTTTGTCTTAAACTTGTCCAATCTCAATTGGCACTAATGGTCCAATTTTTGTGGAAGTCGACTGTCCAATCCTGGTCTTCACATGTACTATGGTTTCGATCGATTCTAGTAGTTTAGTCTCATGAAAGTCGGTCATCTAGTCCCAATCATTGCCTACAGTATGATCCTAGTGAAATTCTGCCGTTCAATCTTAGTATGCGCTAGTGGTCTAATCTTGATGGAAGTCAGCGGTCCAGACTGTCAACTTTGATTAACACTGGATCGTTGATGTTGTCTAAGTTGCTTTTAAATTCAAATATATAGTTTAAAATTTGAAATTTTACTTAATATTTAAACAAAGAATTTTAATATTATAATTTTAAATTTTTTATATCCTCCAAACAAATAATTTAAAATCTATAAATTTTAAATGTGAGATTTCAAATATGAGATTTTAAATATAAATTCACCTATCCAAACGCAACCTAAAGGTAAACTATTAATTTAACTATTTTTAAAAAAATTATTGTCTATGATCAAATAAATCCATGCAATATTAGTTCCCAAAAAAATATATCAATATAAAACTTTAGATTTGAAAAAGGTGTTGATAATATGATGTGTAGTGTTACTTGCATAAGATGAGAAGTGATTTTACCAATAAATATTGGTTCAATTAGTAAGAATTTGGTCATATTTTATAAGATTATGGGATCAAATCCTGTTGCCAATAGAAAAATTTTGTTAGTGGATGATCTACTAGAGTTAAGTACTTCTATAAGTGCTCATTGAATGTGGAAGTATGCCTAGCCTTATTAAGCCTCAAGACCTAAGTCATCCCAAAAAACTTTTAAAAAAAAATCCCTAAAATCTACAACATTATTCTATAATGCCCCATTTTATATGGAAATGAGCTATTGGTGGAAGTGGAATTAAAAATAGAAATAGACATGGATATGGGGTGTAAAAGTATGTTTAGTGTGTGCACGCGCGTGTATGGAAGTGAGATAAAAAATTTATATCAAAGTACCACCAAATAAGCATCATTGCCACCATCCACCAGATCTCAGAACTGTCATCCACCAACCACCATCTTCAAGTAACCACCATTGTTGTTGGGCATTGTCTAGATAAAATTAAATCCAATTAAGAACTCAAGCCAAGATGAACAATGAAGGCATGAAGCATATTGAAGAAGTTCCATTATTGTCATTGTCTCACCACCACTATTATCAGAGAAGCATAAGAAAGATGCCATTATCATTTCATCACCATTATTGCCATTGAAGAAGTTGATCAAAGATATTGTCATCACTTCCCCACCACCCCTATCATTAGAGAAGCAGATCAAAGAAACTTTATCATTTGGCACTTAGAAGGTTATGGTTGTGAGTTGCTATTATTGGTCAACACAATCACATCCTTCTCCTTGTTACCGTCGATGAATATTGCCTTTTAAGTTGGATCGAACAAGGCAAGAAATGGATTAAGGGTGAACATGGCAAAATGAGAGAGGAAGTCAATTTTATGAGCTTGCCTAAAGAACCCGACTCAATCATATTTGATAGAACTCAACTTTCTAGAGAGCCTTGTTCATGCAAACCAACACGGCCAAGGATAAAATAAAATTAACATTTCCTTGGGTTTTACTTCCATTTTACTTCCCTCCCTCCAATTCGCTACTATTAAATTGGGCATAATTAAGAGTTTACGTCTAGATAAGTAGGAAATTAAATGTTGAAAATCAGGTGAGCATAATGAGTAGCACCTCTGCACTTGTGATAGTGGATCACTCAATCATTATTCATGGTTGTAATGCTATTCTCCATAAGTTAGATGTTGTGTTTGAACAACAAAACCAAGCATGTCAGAGAAACAAAGTTTCAAAGATAACCATAGCATCCCTAGGCTTCTTTACCTCAATCCACTCGGATGCTAAGATGTAAAGAGATTGGTATTTTTTTACTAATGGAAAATATATTACAAAGTTGTAACAATTACAACATGTAAATTGAAAATAAATCTAAATCTAAATATAGGATACTAGGTAAAACAATTCAAGAAAAATGAATTTGGGATATAGTTTTCTAGTGTAAGCTCATATTACTTTTGATGTAAATAATGATGGTGATGCCCTTTTGTCATCAGTTTAAGCCTTTTTTATAATCATTTGTCTGAAACCATTGTTACCAAAGAATTTAGAGCTCGCATGCAAAATATCCATAATCACTCAACATAACCCTGCGAGATTCATGGCACATTAGATAATGATCTCATATCCACCTAACACCTTCCATGCCTAGTCGTTCAGAGTCTTAAGGGCCACGTCGAGTTCCTACATCGCACGACTTCTTGTAGGAACAAACCAAGCCTTATCTTTATTTGAACCTATCGTTTTAGCTTTCCTTCTTCTCTGTGATTTTGGGCTGATGCTTTGTCTTAGGCCTAAACAAATGCCAATATAATTTTCGTCAAATTAACACAATGCCTTGTAGATGTTCAAATTATAATAAGAGATATGTTCTTGAATGATCAATAGATATCAAGTAGCTGAGAAAACACTTAAGAAATAGCACGTTTGTGTTTATTTTATATTTTTTATTATATATAGATGTTTTCCTTTTATATTGAAAAAATTTAAAGAAAAACACCATAAAATCCCTCCTTGGAAGGAAAATTGTTTGGAGGCGTCAAAATTAATTTAAGGATCAAATGCATGTAAGGCCTATCACCTTACATACTAAGCCTATCACCTTGTACACCAAACTTATAACCTTGCACCTTAAGTCTATCACCTTGCACCTTGTACATAAAACTATCATCTTGCACACTAAGCTTATGACCTTGCACTTTGTACACCAAGCCTATCACCTTATACACTAACCCTATCATTTTACACCTTGTATATCAAGTCTATCACCTTATGCTCCAAGCTTATCACTTTACCCCCCAAGTTTATTACCTTACACCTTGTATACCAAGCTTGATAACCCTGCACCCTAATAAATCATATTTTTACATCATTTTTTATTCCTTTTATTTTTGGTTTGGACACTTGTTTTTGATATTCTGAGCATCATTTAGAATTATTGGACTTGATTTGTAATTTTGGGAACAAAA